ACTCCGGATACGTATGAAGTACTACGCGTATTAGTATTTCGGTATTAGAATATGCAGTAGGGAGTATGTTGGCGTAAAGGATGACGTATGCGCCTCTCAAAACTCAAAAGAGATCGACTACTGTATCATTTGTGGTCTTTACATCACACCGCCGTATACGAAGTATGATGGTAAACAATGATGTTGCCGGAAGAAAGGTGAAATTTTGCGGCATACGTAAAAAAAAAAGGAAAAATAATTGTTACCCCTCGAGGTTAGGTGATAATCATTCTAGTTTAGTCATAATTATTAGTTCAACTTTTATTTTTAAAAGTCAACTATTTACCCATTCAGCTACGATTAATGTTGTAATCTTCCCCATCTATCAACATTTTCATCAACTATTTATTTGGCTAAAATACCCTTGTTTAGGGAGTATTTGTTAAATCCTCTCATCTACGTATTTCTTTTCAAATTAGGGGGTCCGGTCCAGTCTAGTATTTTGCCGAACTCGTACCCGTATCGTGACTATTGAAACCGTTCGGTTCAATTTTAGACTTAAACCCGTTCAGTACGGTTCTATTTTCAAACGGGACGATACCATATTATACTAATACCAAATAATGTCACTTTTCTAAGTGTGTAAGTGGAAGTTAAAGTTTAGTCATCCTATACAAATACGCATAATTTATCAATTTCCATACTCCGTATTACATAATTATTAGATTTCAGATAAACTAAGTAGTAGAAATCTTAACCGGTCATGACATTGTTTAGAACCGGCACGGTCTGATTCGCGACAAAAAAATTGAGATCCCTTTCAAGTTCCGTTTTCAGTCCGGTACCATATCGGTCTGGTTTGACACCATGCCGGTTCGGTATTTTTGCCCACTCCTACTTCAAATACACAGCCGAGCGTATTTTCCTTTGATGTACGAATGAGACTGCGGCTGGGAATTGAAATTGGAGCAGAAAAGAAGAACGGAAAGGCATAGAGCACTTTCAAGTGTGCTGCAATGATGCTTGGGAAAACATTTATTTTTTGTTCGAATACTTTTGGAGTAAGCCTGCGAAACTTTTAGTTGATGTACTCTTATTTTATACCACTCCTTAGTTTAGTTTAATAGATAAGCTAAGGACATTTTTGGGAATTCCGCTTATAATTAATGGTCCAAGCAACTTAAAATTAACAAAAGGGGACACTCTAACTTTAATAAAAGCTTAAGGGGTAAATGATTCAGTTCAAAAAAATATAAGATTGATTTAATAATTATCACCTAACCTCAAGGGGTAATAATTATTTTCCCTATGAAAAATATTAAAAAGTTGTGAACTTCGATATTTTTTTTTTTGTAAAAATTGGATTATCTAAAATAAAAAAGTTATATCAATTTTAAAAAGAGAATCCTTTTTTTAATTGTAGATCCCACCTTTCCTTGATATACAATTGGCTTTGTTTGCAAACAATTAATTTAAGTGCTTTTGGCTTTTTAAAAAAATAAAAAAGCACTTATTTTACCAAACAACCAACTTTTACTTTCTCGGTTTTCGTGTATAATCTACTTTTTACTTTTTCTATTACACAAAAAGCACTTATTTTACCAATACTACCAACTTTTAATACTAATCACTTTTTCCAAAAAGTGTTTTTATTTAAGCACAATCACTTACAAACAGAGCCTTACTAGCTTCCATTTGCGGCTATGCTTCTTTGTTTCAGATTTCAAGCGCAAGTCGCCAATTGAGTATTTGAGTTACTAGTAAATACTTTTAATTCACCTCTAATTTCATAAATAATATTTTATTCAGCATTATTTTAGACAAAGAAGGTAATATATTGTGATGACAAGTTTTGCAATGATAAGTTTTGCAATGACAATAACTAAAAATGAAGGCTAAATGTTATCACATAAAATTTGGTTTATACCTTGAGAGATAAATTTTAATAATGGCCAATTTTACATTGCAGTACCAAAAGCAATGAGCAAAGACATCTTAATATACTTATATGTTTAAAACAAACAAATTTCTTCACCATGACGGTGAACGTGGTTTATAAGGAGGATTCCCAAAATCTAGCAATGTGATGTTTGATGTATGTGGTATTACATTACAATGTCACTTTGTAATATGTTCACTATAATTGGTCCACAACAACCAAATGTTTATCTAAAGTAAAATGATGACTTGTTTATATATTCCATGTATATTTTACAAAGTATTCGGACATTCTCATAATCCGTCCGGGCAACGTCCAGACAAAACGCTAGTTTAAACTAGATCAGATCAGATCAGATCAAACAAGATTAGAAAGTTTCAATCCAATTAAACATTCTTAATCTTTTGTAGAAAACTTAGGTGTCATATAGTAGACCATGTAGTCATATGCCATGGAGACAGAAACACTTGCACGAACCTACTTGTTGGTCCAAAAACGGACGCTCGTAAGGCTTTTAGGAAAGCTACGATAGACACATGCATTAATAATTCAAGTTTACTATCGTTGAAAGGACTCAGCGAATAACAATCGTATTTGTCGATCGGTTCTAGTAATAAGTAATATATGAAACAAAACTAGTTGATCTTTTAAGTAATGCTCAAATATGAATATGAGATATAAAATAAGAATGTAATCAATACTCAATCAAAGATGATTTAAGAAAATAACACACAACTTACAAAACACAAGCTTAATTCAAAGTGACAAAACCAAGATGGAAGAGTTTAGATCCTCATTTGAAGACTAAACATACTACAGAAATATAAAGAAAATACTCGTCTAACCGAGCTTAGAGGTATATATGATCAATTGGTGATTAATTGGGACGGAAAAGAGGTGTATAAGTGTATTTATAGGTGTTTGGAGGCGAGAAGATCAGATACCCGACTGAGTATATATGATACCCCGATCGGATATCCTTAGTAATTGATTGGAACCTTAATAAATCACATCATACCTGATCGGGTATGTCGGTTTACCCAATTGGGTATACGACAAATCTTGCTAAATCTTCACCTTGCATATTTAGTTGTCTGACTTGTCTCTCAAATCAGATTTGGTAATCGTCTCAAGTCCATATCCAACCAGGTATATGCTATACCTGACCGGGTATATGACTAATTTCTCAAATCTTCACTTTATTTTGTTGCCTTACACTTTCTTTGACCTTTCAAAGATCTTTTTGATGATCTTTAATTACTTGGTTTAAGTTCAGAATATTCCTAATCTAAACTAATTACAAACAAATAGAAAAAATAAAATATTACACCAAAAGTGTGTGAATTCCCAAACAACAATAAATAAAATTAGTTAAAATTACAAACATAAAGAATAACAATTCGATCTATATTATTCATTATTCGTGCAATACATGAGTCGGTTATTTAATCCCGTGAAAAATTATGGATGAGAATACTCTACACAGCACACTTAATTTAAAAAGTCATCCTAAATGCATAGCCTGTATTTTCATCTCCCCTACATGTAAGGATGAACATTAATAGTAATTTTGTTATGACAAAATACCATTTACTTTGTAACCTTAATTTCACATCTACAAATTGTAGTAGTTGAGCTTGTCTTTAGGCATTTATTTTTCCTCATGTTAAGCTCACATTACTTCTCCACTGGACATCCTTCAATCACAACACGTAACTAAAACAAGCAGCAACAACATCCCGGAATTAAAACCGATGCAACCTTCATAGATTTTATCATTTAACAGTTGAGATTGATCGACACAGTAGATTGAAGATAATAGAAAATGGAGTTTAAGGAATCCTTCTCATCAAGCAAAGGAGATTCAACAGATTTCGAAGCGGAATTGACTCTAAGTGACAAGCTTAAATCCTTCAAATCTTCGAGCTTCAATCCTGATTCTTATGTCTCCGGAAGATGTCGAACCATGAGCGAAAAGGTTTAGTTCCGCAATGCCGCGTATATTGTTTTGCTATTTTTCTTCTTTTCTCATCCATCTCTACGGACTATAATGTTGTCGCATATATCACTCAAAAAAAATACATGATTGATGCAGTTTTGACACGAATTGATCGATGATTTCATACTAAATTAGTCCGTATCATGTTTTTTGTCACGAATTTGACATATTTCTGCCAAATCTTTATGAAATTTGATGAATTTCTGCCAAAAATCATTGTCAATTCCGTATTCTTTTATAATGTATATTATACTACGTATTGGATGTCAACTTGTAATTGTAAGAAACATAATCCACTGTTGCATCTCCATAAGCAGGAAACCAGACACTTATTACATTACCTCGTCGATTTAAAGAAGGCTTCTGCAGAGGAAATGCGGAAAAGTGTTTATGCTAATTATTCTGCTTTTATCCGGTATGATTTTGATAACGAATTGATTTCAAACTTATTTGATTGTTAATTTTTATTTTTTTATTCGATTACATTTTCGATCTAATACTTCCTCCGTTCTTTTTTAATTGCAACAGTCAACATTTCACGTTTGTCAACGCACAAGTCTGACCATTAATATCTTTCGATCTTTAGAAGTTAAAAAATTAAAAGAAAATTAGATTTTGAAAATTTATAATGAGAAGAATTTAACAATATTTTTTAAAAATTTAATTTATAATACATTAATAAATAAAATATAGTCACAGTAGAACATGTGAATAGTCCAAAAAGTCCAATGTTGCAATTAAAAGAGAATAGAGATAGTATAAGCTAAATGGTTATACGTAGTATAAACTATTGAAAAAACCGTGCTTTCATATACGAAATATATACTACGTATATAGTTTGGGGCACTTGTTTTCAATAATTTATTTAGGACTTCTTAATTAAATTTTAAACTAAATTTTGATTGATATATACGGAGTATATATTTTTTGATCGAAAAAATGTTATAGGTATAATACACTTCATCAAGAACATGTTTAAAAATTTATCAAAAAAATTCAACCAAACTGGACCGGGTCCGTACATCTTCATCATTATATATGGATGCATATTCGAAATTTTCATTGTCTTTCTTGTATTCACAGCACATCAAGAGAAATTTCTGATCTTGAAGGGCAACTCATCTCGTTGAGAAACCACCTTTCCAACCGGGCTTCTATAATCCAAGGATTAGCAGAAGGCACAAATCTTAACTACCTGGCAGCACCAGAAGGCTTATCGAAAGAGGAAATCCTGAGCTTTGAAGCAAGGGAGCCTACGAAGATAGACAAATGGAGAGTAGAATTCATGGAGTCGCTTGAAGTGTTGTTGGCGGAGAGGCGCGTGGATGAAGCATTGGACGCATTAGACGAAGGAGAAAGCGTGGCCAAGGAGGCGAGAGATCGCCAAACATTACCCCCAGCTGATTTACAGTCCTTGCAGACCGCCATTTTCGAACAGAGACAGAAGTTAGCGGACCAATTGGCAGATGCCGCGTGTCAGGCCTCGATCAGCGGTTATGAGCTCAGATCTGCTGTAATGGCGCTGAAACGCCTCGGAGATGGCCCCCGCGCGCACACGCTCCTCCTCACATCTCACCAGCAGAAGCTGAAGAGTAACACTCAATCGCTCCACCCCTCCGCCGCCTCGCACGGAGTGGCGTACACGGCGGCTCTTTCGCACCTTGTTTTCTCCACAATCGCGCAAGGAGCGAGCGATTCCTTAGCCATATTCGACGATGAACCGGCGTACTCCTCTGAGCTGGTGACGTGGTCGGTGAATCAGACCGAGGCTTACGCTCAGCTCATCAGGAGACACGTTCTGGCTTCTGCGGCCGCCTCTGGCGGCCTGAGAGCAGTCGCCGAGTGTGTTCAGATCTGTTTAGGGCATTGCTCGCTTTTGGAAGCTCGCGGGTTATCGCTTTCGCAGGTCCTGTTGAAATACTTCAGGCCGTGTGTGGAACAAGCGTTGACGGCTAATCTGAAAAGGATTGAGCAGTGTACGGCGGCGCTTGCTGCTGCGGATGATTGGCTACTGGTTCATTCGCCTATGGGATCGCGCTCTCTGGGAGCTGCGCCTCTTGGCGCGATGATCTCCCAGCCTAAGCTCTCCACCAGTGCTCATAAATTCAACACAATGGTTCAGGTGATTATTGGCCTAACCAAAAGATTCAAGACGTTACATTGTTACTCTCATTCAGGTTTTCATTCACTAAGTCATGCAATAATAGAGTTAAATTATCTATCATAACATATACTCCCCCAAAACTAACTTGTCATTTTGACTTTTAAGGTCAAACTTGGGTGAGGTTTGAGTCGTTCGACTTTGATTACTTAAAGTTATATTCTTATAAAATGTGTAAGAAATGATATTTCAATGATATACCAAGTATATTAATACTATTTATTTGAAAGTATATTCATTTTTATAAATGATATAATACAGAGTATATTTTTTAGTAATTAATAGTCAAAGTTAACAAAGTTTGATTCAAATGAAAAATTAATTATCGGACCGAGTTAGCATAACTATGAACAATTAAAATCTAAATATTTTAGAAACTAAGCTATAAGTTCAATTGAATTGCCCTTTCAAAAAAAAGTTCAATTGAATTTCAAAAATCGAATTTTAATACTACGTATGATAAAAATTTACTACTACTATGTAAAATTAGAGAATAAGATAGGATTCAAGATTGGGTTGAGATCACTCAATTAAAACAAGAAAAATACATGTGTCGAACACACTAGCCTAGCAAGGAGAAATCATTAGGTACAAGCAAGGTACTCAAAGTCGTGAGGTGCACTCAAGGTGACAAGGCGTTAGAGTGCTCAAATTCACAAGGCGCAAAAAAGTGCCGTGCACCATCTATATACAAAAAATGTATACCATTCATAATTTTAAAATATAAACAAGTTAGAGAAATGGAAAAGTATTTTCAAAAGTTATGTTCCCAAGTGTTTCATATTTTCGTCTTCCAAGTGTTTAATATTTTCAAAGCATTTGGTAAAAATGGCATTGTCACAATAATGAGATGGCTAGTTATTATGTTCCCGGGCTAGAGCTCGCGTCAACCGGCGGTTGGTGAGGGCAGAGAGATGTGTTTCCTCTATTTTTGCAGGCAATATAATACTGGGGAAGTAAGGGGAGGCAGGGAAAGAGATAAAACTTCAAGAGTTTTATGAAGTTTCTTTCTCCTTGATAAGTATTCAACTGGTTTCCAGTGGCGGACATAAAGGGGGCAAATGGAGGCCGCTGCCCTCCATTTGTTTTTCCTAGTAGGTATATTTACGCCACACTTTTAATAGATATATGTATCAGTATGTATATTTTTACACTACCGCCCCTCCTATCAGGAATTCCTGCATCCGCCGCTACTGGTTTCTTTATTACTCAAAGCAAGAGTCCCTACTTATAGTAAGGGTTCTTACACTAGTAAGGAGAGATGATAAATAAAATCAATTCTTAAAATAAACTCATGTAGTGATGGAAAGCAATAAAGTTGCAGATCAACTTAATTAAAGAAAGCAATTAACTAGTCTAATGAAGGAAAGTATCAAACAATAAATCAGAAATCTATTGTATGGGCCTATAGGGAATTAATATCCTTCCATAATGAACTGCTTAATCAGCCAAGGATCTGCCACTGGTGTTGCGACGCTTATAAGTCTCTTATAGAATGCGTCACTAGTATTGAAGATTCCCAAAAGCTTTGCCTAAAATATCTACTCCCTCTGTCCCAAAATTATCTTCATTCCTTCCATTTCGGTCCGTCCCAAATTTATCTCCTCTTTCCCTTTTTGGCAAAGAATTTGTGGTTCATAACCATTCTTACACATTCTTACACATTTCTCTCTCCTCTACACAACTCTCCACCACACAAATCCCACTATCTTAATATGTGTGCTCAGTCAAAAGCGAAGTTTTTATTGGGACAAAGGGAGTATATCGTAATAGCAAGAGGACTAAAACTGAAAATTATCAAAGATACGCACGAGAAAGGCCTTTGCCATAATAGAGTGAGGGGAGTAATGGTTGTACAAACTCTTTCTTTAAGAGAAAAATCACCCTTTGTATGACTAAAATCTTATGTTTCAAAAAATATGACTCATGTTTTTTTTCCTAATATGATGAAAGGTGACATGTATGCATACTGTCGCGTTTTGTTTTTGTTATTTTGTTTCATACGTAGTATGTGTGATGTACTGATGTGTCTGGTCATAGTATATTAGGAAATAATCATGTTTGATCATCTTTTGGGAATCCTCATGAGTTTTAATCCTATATAAGTATTTTCCCCTTTCTTTGATTATACTATACTATGATGTGACACAACTATTTAGGCTGCTTTCCCAGGAACTATGTGAGGACATTAGTCCACTTGAGAGTTTAAGGCTATCTCATCAAGCTTTGGAGGGGATCATACAAACATTTAACGTTTATATCAACATGTTGATAAACGCGTTGCCCGGGTCGATGGAAACTGAAAACATTGAAGGAACTGGACACAGAATTGTAAGAATTGCAGAGACTGAAGCCCAACAGACAGCATTGCTAGCCAATGCATTGTTGTTAGCGGATGAGCTCATCCCACGTGCAGCCACGAAGCTCTCGCCTTGTCATCAACAGCAGGCAAACAGAATGGAGGATTCGGCTAAAAGATCCTCTGAAAGGCGTATTCCAGAGCAGAGGGAACTTAAGCGAAGACTTCAGCGGTTAGTTGATCAATTACGTGACAGCTTCTGTAGACAGCATGCGCTTGAACTTATTTTTGGAGAAGACGGTGTGGTTCGATTAAATGCAGATATGTATCTGAATATGGATGAAAGTGGAGAAGAGCCTGAATGGTTCCCCTCTCCAATATATCAGGTAATTATATGTTCATCCACATTGATGCATAGACATGGATTTAGTAGCCACTTCGATGCCCAATTTCCATATCACCATATGGTATAACATATGTTAAGTTACCGAAACCAGCACTATAGAAGAAGATAAGCACACACTACCATTTCACATAAACTCTCTCGCTGGAGGTTTTCTTTATGTTTTTCCTTGCAAAGTGATATATAAACTTGTAATATAGATTATAGAATAAGATAACATACAGACCAAAGATATACGTTACTATCTAAATGCAGTTTTCGAAGTTTATGATCTTCATTTCCACACATGGATAATTGGCAGATCCTTTCCCATGCCTGAGTATAAAAATTCCTTCTAGATAATGATTGAAAGTTCTGCAATAATTTTCCATCATGTTCATATCTATTTAAGTGATCCATTCTTGACCGTTCATTCTTGTATGCATTTCCTTCAGGAACTATTTGAAAAGTTGACAAGAATAGCCAACATTGCGTCAGAACTGTTCATTGGAAGGGAAAGGTTTGCAACTATGCTTTTGGTCAGGCTAACTGATACTGTCATCCTTTGGCTTTCTGAAGACCAGAACTTTTGGGAAGAAATTGAGCAAGGTCCACGGCCTTTAGGTCCATTAGGACTTCAGCAGGTTTTCCTTCTCAACTGCTCTTGTTACTGTGGCTAGTTTTCTTCGTGTCAAATAATAATAATAATTAGTATCTTAACTCATAGGGGAGAGCAGACCTAGTAGTAAGAAAATTAATACCCAGCCCAACAAGGATAATTTAATAAGATTTGAAGTGTACATTAAAGATTAGCCATAGGAGTAACTCAATATTTGATTTGTAACTTCATACTATGCATGTATCTAATGTGGGCCAAACTGTTAAACATAAAAACATCTCTACACCACTCCATTTGTGTAATACGAAGCCTGTGCTTGTTTCCATTGGTTTAGGATTTGGGAGGGTAGAGAAGAGGAGGATCAATTTTATTTTTTAAATTATTTATGCATTTAGGTGATTGAAAATAAAATGAAGATAAAAAATAATATAGAAGAACATGATCTAACTGATCATATTATCATATAATTATTTCTTCTACAAACTTAACAAAGAGATAAATTAGTGAAATAAAAGTCATTCTCCTCTTTTAGAAAATGAGTTAAGTTCAAGAACTGTTTAATTCAAATTTTGTAAAAATGGTCATTTTATTTTATTTTTTCTCTCGTGGTTTTCTCTTTCTTCACATCTGTTTCTTCTTTTGGTTTCTTAATTACCACAAAGAATGTAAAACAGGTTTCCTTCGATTCTCTCCCAAATTAATGTCATCATTTTCCAAAGCAATGGCGGGTATAATTTTGACAATGGCAGAACTTAAGATAAAAATGAAAGCACATCAAGATAAATCTATTTATATGGTTTGATTTTATTTCCATTTATCTTCATTTTTTTCTTGATTGGGTCCTTTATCCTTAGTTTCTTTTATTCCCAGAAACAATGGTCGGAAAATATCAAATGTCAAACCATCCACTTACACTAGCAGTGATATTAAGACTTAGGTTCCACACTGAAAGTTCAAATCTTAAAAATGTGTTTGTTTTGAGTCTTAGTCGGAACAGGTAGTTTCTTGGAATATAATTGACTATGATATCAATTTTGTATGGACACCGGAGACTGGAGTCCCAGACTTCTCATTGAATGCCTTAGTCTGTGAACCAAAAGATTCCAAGTTGCTCCACGCAAGGTGGAGGATTCTGGCTTGCCCAGTCATATACGAACAAGGTGATATGCCTGCATGGGTAGCTCATCTGGTCGTGACTGTAAAGTTTTGGTATAAGAATGAGGCAGTGCTACACTTTATGGAGCACACTGGAATCGATTTCATTGCTACTGGGTGTACCAATGCCACAATATATTGGACAGTTGCTATTGGTTAGAGCCCCGGCCCTTGCCACGACCTGATCACCCTTGGCCACTACCACTATTGAATTGTTAGCTGCCCATGTTTGACATGGTCGCTGTCTCCAAACTTGCTTCGTTGCTGTCTTCGCGAGTGGTTCAAATTGAACTGTTGAAGCAGCCAATGAGGGTCCGTTCTTCCGCTCTTAAGTTTTCTATGGGTTGGTATGGCGTGTTCCATTCTACTTCTAATTCTTTAATGGAAAGAGTGTCAAATATGTCCTGCTAATATGTACAGAAAGTCAATTAAGCTCTGTACTTTAACTTTCATCAATTACATCCTTGAAGTATTTAAATTTATCAAATCCAATTTTTGGCAGGTAACCTTCCGGTGGTTAGTAGGTTACCTGCGGCATAAACGTGAGCTAAGCGAAGCAGTGAAAGCACACATGGCTCCCTACGTCACCATTTATCCTTTTCTTTTTTTTCTTCTCTTTTCCTTTTCTTTCTTTTCTTTTCCTTTCCTTTCTCCTTCCATGTTCCCTCTTATCCCTTCTCCACGGAGGTCAAGCCGCCTTGACTATTAATGTTTTACAATGCTGTAATTACAGTACTAAATTTAGATACTACGGAGTACTAAGTACTGAGTATTAAGTTTTGTAATAGGATCATACATATTAAACCTACTCCGTATTGAACTGAAAATATTTAGCCGTCAACAGAGGAGCAAAAAACATGCTGTAAAGAAAGGACAAACAAAAAGTGGTGCGAAAACCGGTGATCGGGGTAGGGTATAGCCGAAAGGAAGAACGAAAAACCAGAGTGGTCAAGTTACCAAAGGGAAAGGTGCGTCTCCTTAAGGGGTCATCAAGGAAAAAGAAAGACTCCATGTCTAACAAAAGCTTAAAAAAAATGCATCTACAAACTATGGGCGTTCATTCCTAATTTTCTCAGTTGTATCTATGGGCTTTCAGTAATCGGAACTTTTTTTATTTGTTGTCTGTGATCAAATTGGTCCAAGAAAATAGTTAAATTGGAGGGAACACCACACTTTGGTAGCATTGAAATCGAATGAATGCCCTTTGAAAATGGCAAATGTCAAATGCCTTCTGAAAAGAAAGACAGTGAGACGAAGTAGAGAAAATGACAAATGTCCCTCTTCATCAATGGTGGAACTGAATCTCAAATTCCATCCAGATCTCCTCCATCTCTGGCGGCTCAACCTCTGCGTGAAGGAAAAAAAGAGCGATCAGGGAATGAGAAAGGATTACCTGTGCTCAAGTAGCGTCAACAGGTAACCTCCTAAAAGGCAGATTACTTACCGAAAAATCGAATTTGACAAAATTTACATCGAGAATTTAATTGACGAAAGTTAAAGTATTGAGGATTAATTGACTTTATGTCCATAGGACATATTTGACACTTTTCCCTGATTTCAACATTCCATTTTACAATCCTTGTTGTAAGCTATGTTGTAAATCAAATGTGGATTAGAGTTGGCCGTTATTGGATTGGATTCAGCTTTTCATGTTTGACATCAACGGATCAATGAGTCCTTTGTAAACATTCCGGCAGATGTGATGGAACTATGGAAGCATTAAGAATTGGGTGTATTAGAGGCGTAACCAAGACATAGAAGAGGGTGGGCCGGATCATTAAAAGTTATCATCACTCATAAATTAAAGGGATAATTACTATTAGTCCCCTGAGGTTATGTCATAATCATGAAGGCAACCTTGCATTTTCAAAAATATATTGGTTACCCCCGAGTTTGGATCATTCTCCTTCTTTGCCCCTCATGTTAATATTTGTTAAATCAAATTTAATACGGAGTATAACTCTTATATTCAATGAAAATTGTTTATAAAATTAAATTTTAAATTAAAACACAAATTATTATCATATTTATAATTTATTATTGTTGAGCATTATTTATCTACTTAGCTACTCACAAGTACTATGTAAGATATAAAATATCATGAATTTCAATACTTCTATTTTAGAAAATTAAATATCATTCAATCTTATAAAACTAATAGACTTTTTACTGTAAAAAAAATTGTGAAGATAGAATCATCACAAATTAGTAACAGAGTAAATAAAATATTTAAATAATTAAATAAATCAAAATCTATGTTATTTTAGGTCTTAGATTGATAGCTTTCAATTATTTAACTCCTATACCGATACATTCTATATTTTAGGTCGTTTATTGATGTTTGACATATCTTTTAGGTCATGAAATGTTGAAATTCCTTCTTCTTGGTATTTCTTCTTTGCTACACATGAAACAAATGTCATTAAGAATAATTCAACCGATTTCAAATATTTTTATATTCATGATGAAGAAGTGCCTATAATTTTGACAACACATTTTTAAATAACTTTCTTTGATGTATCCCAACAATATTACTCGTGCATCTTCCCCTCAACTACTCATATTAATAGTTATTCCACGATCATAGGGGTGGACCGGTTCCGGTTCGGGCCCGGTTCGGGCCTGGGCCCGGCCGGGCCTCGGTTCAGAAAAAAGAGGCCCGAGCCCGAACCGGTGGTGGGCGGTTCCGGTTCCGGGCCAGAACCGGGCCGGGCCGGGCCACCCGGATTTTTTTTTTTCTTCTTCTTCTCTTATTTAACCCCCTACCCCTCCCCCTCCACCCCAAACCACCCCAAACCACCTCAAATGACCCAAAATACCTAATCCAACCCAAAACTTAAAAAAATTTCAAAAAAAAAAAAAAATTAAATTCCGGCCCGAACCGGGCCCGGCCCGGCCGGGCCGGTTCACTAAACTGGAGGCCCGGACCGGTATACCACCGGGCCGGGAGGCCCGAACCGGAACCAAACCGGTTGACCGGGCCGGTCCGGGCCCGCACAGTAGCGGGCCGGTCCGGTTCCGGGCCGGTTGGCCCGGCCCGAGTCCATCCCTACACGATCAAGTAACTAAGTAGAAAAATAACGATCAACAACAGTGACTTATAATTATGATAATAAATTATGTTATACTTTATGAATTAATATAAAGACAACTTACATTGAATTTAAGAGTTACATTTAACTTAATTTAACAAATATTAACATGAGGGGGCATATAGTGAGAATGACCAAAACTCAGGGGGTAACAATTGAATTTTGAAAACTCAGGGGGGTAACAATAATAATTATGACATAAACTCGGGCTAATAGTAATTTTATCTAAATTAAAAAAGCAACACAATTAATTGAAGTACATCAACTAATTATTACTACTAAAGATATAGTGCGCCATTTGATGTTAAATGAATTGGACGGTATTTTACCTTGAGCTTTGCTATAGGTACCCAAAAATGGGGGGCCATAAATAGGGTAACTCATTTAAGTTGGCAACTTGTTTTTACCCCATTTTACATTTTACCTTAGCAAACTCATACGATAGTAGATAAGAGAATCTATATCTATTTTACTAACAAGACCACTTTCATTGAAAATTGTCAAACTGTCTGTAAGAAATTTATCATCTATCTTGTTGCGAATAGAGGTGGACTCGGGCCGGGCGGCCCGACCCGGAACCGGCCCGTCCCGGTTACTGTTTGGCCCGGCCCGGCCCGGGGCCCGGTGGGTCCAGTGGTTTGGTTTGGCCCGGCCCGGCCGGTTCGGGCCCGGTCCGAGCCGGATTTTAATTTTTTTTTTTTTTTTGAAATTTTTTTAAATTTTGGGTTGGATTAGGTATTTTGGGCCATTTGAGGTGGTTTGGGGTGGTTTGGGAGGGGTAGGGGGTTAAATAGGAGAACAAAAAAAAAATTGGACCGGTTCGGCCCGGCCCGGTTTGGCTCGGAACCGGAACCGGAACCGGCCACCGGCGGTTCGGGCTCGGGCCCCAATTTTCTGGCCCGAGGCCCGGCCGGGCCCGAACCGGGCCCGAACCGGCCCGAGTCCAGCCCTAGTTGCGAATCACAATTTTCAATTATATTATACGAAGTAATTGCATTGGGCTAGGCCCATTAAGTCCCCCACCTCCTCCAGTGGGTATATAACCAATTTACCAAGATCGGGAGTGTGCAATCCTTTTTGACCAATAATTATTACTCCGTATTACTTATTTTTTCAAACGAAACAAGTTGATGTCAATACTCAATAACATTAATATAGTACTACCTTCACCCCCAAAACAACTAACAACATTTATATGTAGTATAATACAACGTATATATACGATCCAAAAAAAATACAACGTATATATATACTACCCTCATTCCATAAACCAACTTCTCTTTTTTCTTATTTTTATTTTCATGTTCCAAAAATAAGCTTCTCATTAAGAATTGAGTATATTTCCAATGTCGGGAGTATGCAGTCCTTTTTACCAATAACTCATATTTTATCAAACGAAACAAATCGATGTCAGCAACATTAATAGTTCGTATAATATAACATCCATCCCAAAAACAACATTTTATTTTCCTTATTTGCATGTTCAAAAAATAAGTGTCCGTCTATTAATAGAGATATTTTTCAGTTTTTCAAAAAACTGGAAAAAAAGAAAACAGAAAACGTATTTACTAGAAAAAATTGCTGAGAAATTGGAGAAAAGAAAATAGAAAAATGTGTTTACCAAATCGTTTTTCAAAACAAAAAATGAGATATGTCTCTATTATCCTTAATGAAGTGGAGAAGTTAGTTTTAATAGTTTTCTAAATTTGAAAACGGGATGTTGCAGTGTGTCCCGCCTCACTCCGGTGTTAATTCCAGTCCGATCAATGACCTGGTGGTCCCTATCTTGTCCGATCAACGACGCGACTGTCTATGTCCAGTCCGATCAACAGTCTTGCAGTCTTGGTTCGGTCGACAACCCGATAATCCCTTTTGTCTCCAGTCGATGACTTGGCTTTCCCATGATTCGGTGGTCCATGTCCGACCTGGTTGATGACTCGGCGGTTCTTGTCCGGTCTGATTGATGAACCGACGGTTCTTGTCCAGTCTGATCCACGACCTGGCAATACCCGTTCGATCTGGACGATGGTCGGGCAGTCTTAGTCTAATCCGGTCTAGTCAACGACTCGGCGGTCCCCGTCCTTTTCGGCCATCGGCCTGATGGTATCTGTTCGGTTCAATTGACAACTGGGCGGTGGCTGGTCCTATCAATAACTCGATAGTTCTTCTCCGGGCCGGTTAGTAACCCGGCGGTTCGATTTCCAGTATTTTGAAATCATTTTTTAAATGAAGAGTTTTAATAGAGCCGTTGAATTGTCAATCGATAGATAAATGAGAAAAGAATTAGTCAAACTGACCGTTGAGATCGGACGGGAGTGACTAGTTTCATCCTGACTAGCCTTGGACCCAGTTCGGGCCACCCGGCCCGCTACTGTGCGGGCCCGACCCGGTGCTTCGGGCCCCAAACTGGTCTATGACCCAGTTGTATGGAATAAGCGGGGCGGGCTCGAGCTGCACAAATGGGGACCCGGCCAGGCCCGGTTCGGGCCAAAACCGTTTTTTTCCAGTTTTTTTTGGGTTTCCCCGGGTTGGGCTTGATGTTTTGGGGCGGTTTGGGGGGTGAGGAGGTGGGGGGGTAATTAGGAAAGAAAAAAAACACAAGCCGGCCCGAGACCCGGCCCGGCCCGAACCGGACCCGGTGCCAACCCGGGTCGGTCCTGGGCCTTCCCCCATCCACAAAAGGCCTGGCTGGGCCTAGGCCCGACCCGGGTCCGACCCGGCCCAGCTTTATGCCTAATCCTGACTTTCTTATATATGAGACCTAGTACCCTACTTGGGTTGTATAAGGTTCGGTTCCAGATTGGATCGGTCACATAATCGGGTGAAAATTTTTTATGAACACGTTTTCAAATTTGAAAATAAAAAACAAAAAAATGAAAACAGAAAATTGGAGATAGAAAATCCGGAAAATGAAAATAGAAAAATTGGAGAATAGAAAAGAGAACAGACAATTGAAAAATATCTCTGTTAGTAAATAGACCCTAAGCTTCTCACTTTTATAAGGGAAATTGTTAATGAAATGACACAATTATTGTTACCCAATTACTCTTACTCGTTACTTATTTTTATTTCATTTGATATAAAGTAAGTGTATAATTGGAATATTCAAGTAGAGTTTTATATTGCATAAATATGTGCGTGAGTGAAACTGGTTCATAGAACATATACGATAATAGGTTATCAGAAGTACATACAAAAATCAAATTGACAAGTTCTATTTGCTTTGGAGGGAGCATAAAACAAAAATAAAAAAAGACTGAAAAATAAAAAAAAAAATAGGGAAAATTGGTAAATACACTTTTATTAACATTGAAATACTCCCTCCGTCCCATTTTGGTTGTCCCAAAATGGATGTCATGTTTTCCTTTTTGGTAAGAAATTTGTGGTGCTTATCATTTCACTGCATTCTACTCAAATCTCAACCACAACTTTTACTTTTAACCACTTTAACAATAATCGTGCCAAATTGAAATGAGACAACCATTATGGGACGGAGGTAGTAACAATTATCCCCGATACACTAAAAAACACTCTATCACATTGTGAAACTAATAAAATAATTTAATTCAACATTTTAGCCATGCTGCCTCCGAGTCCCAAAAAGACTCGTCAAATTGACTTTTCTTGATCAATGATTGTCAAGTTTGACCAATGATATTTTTTAATATAAAATTATTTAAAATATGAAAATTATATGAGCATATTATATATTAAAAAAGCTTTCATTAAAGTATAAAATTTATGAATTAGGATGTTTTTACTTGGACTGTAATTTGTCCCAGACCAGACCAGACCAGACTTGGGTAGTTATAAAAATACAAAGAAACCAGACCAGACCAGACCAGACCAGCAAATTACAGTCCAAGTAAAAACATCCTTACACAAAAATATAATACCTAAAATTATTGTCTAAACTTAAATATCATTGACCAAGAAAAGTTAAATTAGTCAAAAACAAATTGGCGGTAGTATATCCCAAATAAACGGGTTCTGAGAAATTGTGGACCATGTTTAATAATAATAAAAATAGGCTTTCTTGTCCAAGGCAAGTAAAAATAAAAAATATATGAAGAATGTAATAATGATAAATTGATGATAATTATATTAAAATACAAGTTACTAATGAACATAATAGTCAAAACAAGAATATTCATTTAACATAACATAGTTCATTTGAGAGAAGACATTCATCGACAATGTTTAGATGCAAAATCTTCTACCAAACTGCAAAAGTGAGAACCTAAGAACATAATTATATCAAGTTTTGTTGGGTAAAATAATTATATCAATTTGTTAAATACAAATATACAATTAACTAAGTACTTCATTACAAAAATAACAACCTAATATGTACTAGTATTAAGTAATAATCTAATAATAGGAATTTGATAACTTGTTAAATTTGATTATAAATTACTCAGGCCTAATAAATAAACAACTCTATCGCATAATAATCAAATGTAAGATAACACCCACAGTTAACAATACATTATTAGAAATTAAGAAGATGAAGAATTTAAACCGAGAAAACCTTAACCTGGTTCAGTAATCGTAGTCGACTCGTCCCTTTGGGCCTTCAATTTTGGACTTCAATTGATATACTATTACAGTATTACTCTTTTGGGCCTCCAATTTTGAGGAGCCTGTACCATTGGGCTGGGTGCCCTAGCCGTGGGCTGGCCCTGAATAGACTTGATAAAAAGGAGGTGAGGCCTCATGCTTAAAAGTGGGCATTAAGAAGTACTCCTTGATGGGTGCTTAGGAAATGTCAAAGATGGGAAATGTTCAATTATTCAAAACGGCTGAAAAAACAAAATATGCATATAAAATTTTGGGTACCTCTACCTATTAAGTTCAACACAAATTGTACTAAATAGGAGTAAAAACGTTTTGAAATTTCAAAATAGGAGTATCATGTTTTTTATTCCCTGAATAGGAGTAATCTGTCAAGTTTGGAAAAAAATGTCATGTTTAAAGCCTTGTAATGTCAAATTTGGCAGAAATTTACTCCTATTCAGGGAATAAAAAACATGATATTCCTATTTTGGAATTTCAAAACATTTTTACTCCTATTTAGGGAATTCTCTCTAAGTTCAAAGACTCAACTAATCCAACTAAGTCTGAATGAAGTACACAAGATTCAAAATTTGTGTGTTTTTCAATTAGTCACGTATGTGGATATTTAGAGGCGTTTGGCAACACTCCTTTTCAGCTTATCAGACTTATCAGTCAACTTTTTCACCAAACACGTAATTTTTGCTTTCGCGCGCTGAATTGTGTAATAAGCAGAAAAACTAAGGTTGAAGTTACTTTTCTGACTGTATTGGCTGAAGTTACTGTAGATGATCATTTTAGCTATTTTTACATATAATTTTAATTTATTTTATTAATAAAATATGTGTAAATAAGTGAATTATTAGTATCAATTTCGCCCATTTTAATTATAATGGAACATAATTGAGACAAAAAGGTTTCATCTTTAATAAAGATTTCCCTACTAAAACATGATTTTCTATTCTAAAACTTACCTCACATGTTGATATGTGGTTTTATATGTGGCCAGCGAGAGATTTTAAAACTTAAGAGCCCGTTTAGTAGCACGAAAATCGGCTGTTTTGGCTGATCTGTTGAAATTTATGAAGTTCTGGCTGAAGTGGCTGCATTGGCTGATTCTGTTGCTTTGTGAAAAAATTATTTTTTTAGGAAAAGACATTTTTCCATGAATATTACTAAATTAAATTTAAAAGACAATAATATGACTTGATTTTAAAAAATTCAAAAAAGTGATGTATTTAGTGGCTAGCTCTCAGTGACTCATCATCTACCAATAACTTGTCACTCTGAAATAACCATAATGACACTTTTTTAGTTACTCATACATAGTGACTATTGATACTTTTGTCTAAAAAACATAACTAGCTAGTCATAGTTTATCCGGTGAAACTCTATTAGTTATAGTTACTAATATAAATGTCATTTATTCTAGGGAAAACAATGTCTACCGAAAAGTTTACAAACAATAAGTTAACTCATTGATTGCTTCGCAATGAACTTTAACATAACAAAATTTTAACAATGGGCAAACATTTAGGAATACATTCCAGGCATATTTTTTTGAAAATAACAAAATTTTAACAACTTCAAGTGACAATTCATCTCTATGGAAAAGGTAACAAGTGAGGATTTTTTATCTTCTAACTTTTGGAGTAAAAGCCACTTCTGTAAAATGTTTAAAACTTAGTACTATGTATTATTGATGTCAACTTGACATTAAAAATGGAACGAAATCAAGACAGTGGAGAATAGTATCTTCACCATCATATTATCTCATTTTTATTACAAAAATGGCAATAACTTAGCCTGTAAAAAATATTGGTATGAGCCACATTGTTCATAGAAGTATATAACCATATTTCCGTTCCAATATCATACATGTATGCAGAGTGTGCTATCATTTCAAACAGGTGTAATCATGAGTTCACTACCGCCATTGATATAAACACATTGTATGAATGGTAGGTGATGAATTGATTGCAACCTATCTCATTTTCTTTAATGCATCACCTTTTGAAACTTGATATAAATTTAATTATTAGGAGGCTATGTTTTTTTCTTCAGCTTTCCTTGTCAATTGTTTGTTTTGATTCGTCACTATTCCTAATTATTGAGGCCCCAAATTAAATTGGACAAAACAGGATAATACTCCAAATTCATAATTGTTTTGATCGTTTAGACTGTACTCTTTATATCTTATTCCACATCAGTCCTCCTTAACTCTGTGCCATTTATAAAAGAAAATGGTTTTTTTTGCCATATTACACAGCTATTAAGACATTGATTATTAATATAATTTTGACGTCACATTGTTGTAGTTTTATTTGGATATGGAGTTTGTGATTCTGTTCGCATCCCAAGGCCGGTACTTGTCTCGAAATCTGCACCAAGTCATCAAGAACATTATAGGCAAGGCCATTGAAGCCGTGGCAGCAAATAAAATGGACCCTTACAGGTAGGTAGTGTGCTGCTGTCATGAGAACAAAAATGACATCTTTCATTCAATACAATAGGAAAAATGTTTGGACTACATTTTTTGTGTACACTTTGGACAATTCTGTGTACGTTAGACAGACCAGTGTACGAAAGATATACACAAAAAAGTGTACTCCAAGCACAATTCATAAAAGACCCTCTTTGTTTTACACTCAATTTAAGAAAATGTCATTGTTTTGCACGGTTTTGTTTTCCAAATAACGAAAGAAGACGTTTTTAAAGACCGACCGAAAAGGGTGCATGGCTTTTTAAATTGGAACGGAGATAGTATTTATTTGAGAATCTTTTTAAGTCGATGAAAGCATAAAACTTTCTATGTCATCAATAAAGTGCAATTTCATACCTTTTTTTTTATGTATAACACCAATATTATCTACTCAATGTATCGGCCATTGGGTGTAACCTGAAAAAGGATTCATACCTACTTCTTAAGGGAGTTGAAGTTATCAAGTTTTGAGGAGTGGGTATAATACTCCATGTGTTTTTACAATAAGTTTATGTTCTTGAAAGTGGACGTTTGACCGTTAATATTTAAGAACGCATGCTTGTAGATTTTACAAGCATGTGTTCTTGTTAGTGGGACGGAGATAGTATATGGAACGAATTATGGAAAGAAGTTAAGTGTTTATTATATTATGCATGTATAGAACTCGTCCTAACATATACGCACTTATGTTGCAGCATGCTGCCGGAGGATGAATGGTTTGCGGATGTAGCTCAAATCGCAATTAAAATGCTAACAGGAAAAGCCAACTTTGGGAATGTGGAAAGAGAAGGCGTGGGTAGCCCCACAGCGTCAGCCAGATCAGCATCATCTCCCATTTCTCATGGGAGTCAATGATAACATTGAGCAAAGGTAGTCTTAAGACACCATTGGTTCACTTCAGTTCGCCCAAAGCTTGTTTATCTATTACAGTATCTATTCGATTAAATGTCAACATTATTGATTGGGGTGATTTCGAACTTATAACCTTTCCGTTAGGAGTGTCACAATGTTATCGAATTACAAGTTGATTGGCTCAGTTAATGCACCCAAAGCATGCTAGAACACTATCTAGCTACTATGTGCATTAGAGCCATTTACTTCAAAGGTAATTAACTTGTTTTTTGTATGGAAGAAATAAGCTTAAATTGATATCACATCATTCAGATATGGGGCAAGAAGAAATAAGCTTAAATTGATATCACCTCATTCAGATATGGGGCAAGAAGAAATAAGCTTAAATTGATATCACACCATTCAGATATGGGGCAAGAAGAAATAAGCTTAAATTGATACCACATCATTCAGATATGGGGCAAATCGACAAAAAGAACATTGACAACCGCCGATCCTCGAACTAGATTTAGACTTAATCATCTCCAGAGAAGCAATATAACTCGTTTATCCTGGACTGAGAGTAACTGAGCCTGAGACGATTAAAGCAGGTCTCTCATCAGTCATCACCCAACTCTGAACTCATAGTCTTACAGCAAAAAACATACCAAAAGAAATAGCAAAGTGTATGGATGATCAACGAAATTAAAAAGCTCTTTCTTCCAGAGCACCAGCGCCATGTTTCAGAGCCTCCTATTTGCTTTTGATACTCCGACGGCAGTTCAGGAGGGAGACGAGTCAGCACTACTGTAGCTTCTTCCTCAGTCTATCTCTTATTCGTCGTGTTCTCTGTCAAGCCTCCACTTTCGACATCAATCACAGATGATCTTGAATCCAAATTTGTTCTGGCTTTTGACCACAAGCTTCGCCCATGACCTTCACTCGATGATGTCATCCTCTCACTGTTATTGTTTTTGTTTCTTGTTCGCACCAAGAATCTCGTCACAGAAAAAAACCTCAAATCGAAGAGCTAATCAATCTATCAAATTGGCGGAAGAACTAAAATCCTAAGTAGAGCCTAGAGGAACAAACGGTCGGTTGATCGAGTGGACTTCGAATGCGCTAGGCGTCGAAGGGAACAATACAAAGCTTTGCAAGAGGCGCAAGGTAATTAACTTGTTATAAAAGGAAGGGAAAAGGGCCAAAGAGGCCCCCGCACTTGCATAAAAAGGTCAAATAAGCCCTTATATAGGAGGCTATGTCCGGACGTCGCCATTTGGGGTAGTTCTCGGTGGATTTTTTTGATGAACTTTTTTTAGCATCTTATTCATTAAGTCTAGTTTACTCATACCAAATTTCAACTAATTATTCAATCGGGAATGCATTCAAATGAATTCTTGAAGATAACCGCGTAGTTATCTTCAAGAATTCATTTGAATGCCTTCCCGATTGAAGTTATCCTTTTCCCACATCCCCCCCCCCCCCCCCCCCGCCCAACTCTCCTTTTCTTAGCCAAGCCACCCCTTTCCCCTTCTTCTTCTTCTTCTTCTTCTTCTTCTTCTTCAGCCCAGTTCACCCCACCCATCTCCTTCCATTCTTCTTCTTCTTCAGCTTGCCCCACCCCACCCCCTTGATCCCCCTTGATTCGTTAATCCTGTATCGACTAGATTCTAGAAGTTTTTAGAAGAACCGATATAAGAATTCTTGAAGATAACCGCGTAGTTATCTTCAAGAATTCATTTGAATGCCTTCCCGATTGAAGTTATCCTGTTCCCACATCCCCCCCCCCCCCCCCCCCCCCCGCCCAACTCTCCTTTTCTTAGCCAAGCCACCCCTTCCCCTTCGATCTTCCCTCTTGTTCTTTTTCTTTTTCTTCAGCCCAGTTCACCCCACCCATCTCCTTCCATTCTTCTTCTTCTTCTTCTTCTTCTTCAGCTTGCCCCACCCCACCCCCTTGATCCCCCTTGATTCGTTAATCCCGTATCAACTAGATTCTAGAAGTTTTTAGAAGAACCGATATAAGAATCGATAGTATTACATCGGTGCAATTCTGGTACGTCGTCAGTTAAGCATTAAGAAAATAAATATTTTGACTATTACTTTCTTTCATTATTAAATTGCTAACACATAATACTATACTTTCAAATTAATAAATATATAACCATAAATAAGTAAACAAAATTTTACAAGATAGAAATGAAAAGAAAACAATTATTAAGAAGAAAAGCTCGATTACATCTATGCTTGTACCAAATGTAGCAATGAGTGTAATGATAGACATTATATTTACTTGTGTTTAACATAAGTATTTATAAGTAATTGTTGAAGAAAAGAAGAAAAATTGGGAAAATATCTTGAGAATGAGAGTTAGAGCATAAAACATTGCGATGAAGAGCTTTTTGGACCAAGAGGATGACGTTCTGCTTATAATTCGAGTATAACTTATTGTAGAGAACTCGAAATCACTCGATTCGAATTTCAGGTGAATGGTAACTCAATAAGGTACAAGTGTTATGAAGACTTCATGGCCACAATATGAAAGGAACAATACTCAATCAACCAATCAAGTCAGATGTTGCTGGTGGGATTTCAGGATGCATACCTCTTAGTGTATTATCCATATCTTTTGATTGGATGAAAAAATAACGTCATACAAGTTTTGGTGGATAGGAGACTTCATTATCTACAATTTGGTAAATGAATCATGTCAAAATTCGTAGCGGAACATCCCCAAAATCCCTATACAAAACCGGCGCCGAAATTTCACCAAACCGTCGCCGGGTCTGATGTTTTTCGCACAATTGCACAAACCAGTAGCTTAACTGGCGCCGGGTATGTCAAAATTCCAGATTTTACCTGTGTTCAAAGAAGAACCGGTGCCGGTTAGGTCTGAAACCGGCGTCGGGTAGGTCCGATTCTGCAAAATACAAAGACACGTGCAGCCTATTGTTGATGGGAAAACCCCACTTTCCTTATGATCTGAGCAAATATTTCATCCTTGCTTAATTGTTGGGATCGAAGAGACTAAGGGTATGTTTGGCAAATGGCTTATCAGCCAGCTTTTAGCTTGTTTGACCCATTTTAGCTGTTTGATTAGTCAAATAAGCTAATAATAATGTTTGGTAAATGGATTTTAAAATTAGCTTGTTGAGTTTGAAAAGCCGAAAAATGGATGGTTGAAAAAGCTAAGGGGGGCAGCTTCTTCATTCGGCTGGTTCAATTTACACTCTATCAGCCATTTCGAAACAACCAATTTTACCAAACAGTTATTTATAATCAGCTAACATAACCAGCCGGTCAAAACAGCTAACACAACCAGCTATTAGGAAACAGCTGACACAACCAGCTAACAGCAACAGCTAACATCCATTTACCAAACAAGGCCTAAAAGATTCCAATCTTTAGCATATATAAAGCCCTCAATTCATCAAACAAGATCGTCATTCCATCTTTGGAGCTAAAAATTCAGTTTTTATATTTTACTTTTGTATTTTCTTGAAGAGTTGGAGAAGAAGTTATTTCTCTCCTCTAAATTGGTTCTAGGTAATATTTCTTGTATGTTATTGTATTTCCTTTATCTTAGTTACACTTTTTTAATTAGTATAAGTCATTGTTCTAAAACTCGTTAGGCGCTAGTCGGACGGTTGAGGGGCGCCTAGCGCCTAGGCGGCCGACTAGGCCGATTTTTTGGCCGACTAGGCCTCCAAGGTTAGGGCCGCCTAGGCCGATTAATCGGTCCGCCTAGACCGATTTTTAGAATAATTGTATGAGCTCAAGGAGCTAAATTCTTAGCTAAGGCTAAGGATGAATTTCTATGCCACTAGGTGTTTGATAAAAGTTCTAAACCAATAAATTGCGATTTATCCTTTATATTTTGATTGTTTATGATTATGGTGTACAACATAGAAGTATGTTAAATTTAGTTTATACTTGCAATTAACGTTGAAGTCTAAACTATGAACATTAAAGGATAAACATATATATTACCGAGAATAGAAATATATCCGGTATTATATGATACATGTATTATGTCTTGATATTCAACGGGGTTTTCGATAGATGAATGTAAGCCGTAACAGGACTTATACGTAACGAAAATCACGCTCTCGCTGCCTTAACCGGAGTTGAGAATATAATAGCGACATCGTATTCATAATTATTGGTAAAGAACTAATATTCAACCCTATTAAAAGCATTTAAGTGATTCCCGAAGCCTTAGTTGTTGTTATCAATCATTTTAAACTCAAATTAATCTAAGTTATATTCCTGAAAATTAAAGAGAAGAACCGAGTTGTTGTTTTCACAACAACTCATAAATCAAAATTCTTGCACTTTACTTGTTTCTTTATTTAAATTCATCTTGATCTACTCTCGGACTAAATTAAACAACGTTTCCCTGTGGATTCGACCTGGTATTTTACCGGAATTTATTACTATATCGGCACTTGTACACTTGCAAGTTTAGCCCGGACATGTAACACTTGTATAACGATCAATGTTCTTACTCATTAATAAAATGACAAAAATTCTTGAGCATTCTTGAAACTTTGAGTTTTTTTTAATAAAAATAAATTTAGATTATTATGTTTCATTTATTCTTGTAGAACTCTATGCTACTAAATGAATTACATTTTATTTATTTATTTATTTATTTATTTATTTATCTGTTTATCTATTTGTTTATTTATCTATGTATCTATTTATCTATTTTATTTATTTATTTGTTTGTTTGTTTGTTTGTTTTTTCGTTTCTTATGATACTCCGTATTATATAGAGGAAATTACTCACAGTAGGACTCAAACATAACATCTTTCTTAAAGTATGATCATATGTTTGATTTTCCTTAAATAGGAATAAATATTACATATTCACCCCTAATTTAATTAATTAATATTATTAATTGTCCCTAGTTCCATCACATAACCAAAGCCATTTTGTTGGTGGCGGATCAGTCTGATGACGACAGCGGGGAGCTCCGGTGACGGAGGCGGACAGGCATGCATAGCGGTAGCAGTGATCTAGGTGAAAATTATGACGACCTGCAGTGGCGGTCCACGTTTAAAAGTCTATGGACTTTTTGAAAATCAATAAACTTATCAATGGATTTACAAGTCCAAAGAATTCATTCATAAAAAAGTTTATGGATTTAAAAGTCCATTAACTCTTTTAAAAGCCCATGGATTAAAAAAAAGTTCACCACAATCGATATTCAATACATCCCCGTAGATCATTCCATGTGGAGTTTTTTTTAAATGTTACGTACTAAACTTAATTTTTTTAAGAAAAAATGTGACTCAAGTGATTATGTATATTATTAAAGTTATTGCAATGTAAAATTTGGACATAATGAGTCAATAAAAGTTACCGAGTACAAAATAACTTTTTATCAATATCCGATTATATATTTGACATTATTTTAATGTAAACTATAGGTCATGTCTTTAAACATTTTGAATCGTGCCATCTAGACATTTACATGAGGGATAAAATATTTTGCATGCTTTTTATAAAGCACTATTGAATTCTTCCTCAACTTTAAATGCAACAACTTTGCATGCAAAGTTTTTAAGTGTGAATAATTGAACATAGATTAGACACATTTTCGAAAAATAAAACTAAGAGCCCGTTTGGTAGCACCAAAATCGGCTGTTTTGGCTGATTCTGCTGAAATTTATGATATTCTGGCTGGAGTGGCTGTTTTGGCTGATTCTGCTGATTTAAGAAAAAAATATTTTAAAAATATATTTTATTAATAAATTAAATAAAAAATTATATGTAAAAATAGCTAAAATGGTCCTCTACAGTAACTTCAGCCAATACAGCCAGAAAAGTAACTCCAACCTTACTTTTTCGGCTTATTACACAATTCAGCGCGCGAAAGTAAAAGTTACGTGTTTGGTGAAAAAGCTGGCTGATAAGCCTGATAAGCCGAAAACAGAGTTCTCCAAACGGGCTCTAATTATATTTGTGTCCTTTTAAAAAAGTGTGGAGGTAATATTTTTTCATTTTCCCATCTATTGATATACTAAATTCATAATTGTTTTTGCAAGTTTAGTTATTTTATACTACATTCATCCCAAATTAATTTGCAAATTCAATTTTTTTGTGAAACAATTTCATTTTATTATGATACCAATTTTTAATTATGTTCTACTTTGGGTTTTGTAATTTTATTGAACTTTTAATTTAGTTTTTGAATATGTAAATTTTAAATATTAAAAATTTAATCAATTATCAATAGGGAAAATTTAATTTTAAAATTGGTTGACAAAAAATATTGAATTTGTGGTTCGGTTGCATTACTTAAATTCCCAAGGAGTAGGTCCGGTTTTGAAACTCCGGTATGTAAAACACAAAGGGTCCGTTTGGTTGGGGTGATCTCACATGAAGGCCGGAATGTGATGCACGGAATGTTAGATACCCTTGTTTGGTTCACGGGTTTGAAAAAAAATCGGGAAAGTTACATTCCCGGGAATGTAATATGGATGGGAATCGTAATCCCGTCCATGCCTTAGGTTATCTCACATTCCCGGGGTGATCTAATTTTCTTCCGAAAATACCCTCAATTAATGATCTCTTTTCATTTAATTTCTTTATATATTCAATTGTTATCAAATTTGATTTTTTGTGACTTTATAAAACTTTTAATGTAGTCTCAGCCGTCCAAAGCGTCGATCTGATGCACAATAATCTCTATCTGATGCACTTTTGAATAAACCTTATTTCATGCACTTTTCGAAAAGTGCATCAAATAAGGTCTATTCGAAAGTGCATCAGATAGGGGTTATTGTGCATCAGATCGACGCTTTGGACGGTTGAGATTAATTCTCATTTTACACGTTAAGATGTCTTCTCATTTGAACTCATCCCTATGTGTGTGTGTAATGTATCATAATGTTCGCACAATTAATGACTGAATAAGGTGTCTTATTTTTAAATTTAAGAATATAATCAACGTCACACGTGAAATTTTGCTTATTTCAAGTTAAGATGGTGTTCCAGAAGTCATAACTTTTTACTCGTAATGAGTTACGTGACCCATAATATGTTAAATTAAAGGTATTTCAGAGTTCTACATTCTTGAACTTTCAGCGAGATCGGCTGACCACTCTGAACCCTCCCCCGGCTCCGCCTCTGCATTCACGATCGACAATCAGGGAGGAGCTGTGTGTGTGGTATAGAGAATAGAGGCGAAGATGGATAGAAACGGTGATGGATCGGAGAAAAATAAAACGGCTAAGCAGTTACAGAGCAAGGAGAGGATTTCGGGTTTCCGTAATTTTTTTTATAAAAAATGATGTAGTTTTGGGATCACGATATAATTTGCCGTGGACATATGTGTATGGTATTTTTACCATATTTACCTTATAAAAAATACTTTTACCTTTTTTAATCAAATATATAGGCCGTGTAAGAATGGATAAACAAATTTTGGTATATTGAATGCTTGTAGTCGAGGAAAGTATTTTAAATCAATGAAATGCTAAAATGTTTTAAAAGTTTAATAATAATTACTCAATATCAAAAGCTTTTTTTAATATGTCAGAAACTATAATAAATATGTCTCCATTTTAATTATTTTTATATTTCGTACATGAGTCATATGTAGGTCCAATATAACTGAATAAGCTTGATATATGCTCTACCAATTGCAAACCATGCAATTAATTGTTTATCTTATAATGATAAACTTTATAAAAATAGGCAAATAGCACTCAATTATTATAAGTTCAATATCATGTATTTTAAATGCATGAGTGAAATTTTCTATTACTATTTTTCTCAAATTAAGAAATTAATAACTTTTTTGTTTATGAAGAAAACATAAACTAAAATAGATCAAATTATTTCAGTTTTTTTTGTACTTGAAACATTACAGGACATATTAGATCTTAGGAAAAATTGAAAATAACAATTCCAACTATCGTCGATCCGCTGACAATAATCCCAACTATTGATTATTTTTGTATAATCCCAACTATATGGACCGTCCGCTAATAGTGGTTCATGACCAGATATTACCTCCTATAACAAGTGAATTTTAAATAGAAATTAAGCGTAAAAATTAAAAGTTGAGATTATTTAGGGAAAATGGAAACTAATAATCCAACCTTTTAGCGGCCTTCTTACAATAGTCCCACCTTTTCGTTATTCATGAATAATCCAACCTTTGCACCTCATCTTCATTCACTGGTCCCTGACCAGTTGATGACCTGTTATTTCAAGTTATTTTCTTATCTTTGCAAACCATTATACCATAAATCTCACATTTCACAAACATAATATTTTGCAAAGATAAGAAAATAACTTGGAATAGCAGGTCATTAACCGGTCAGGGACCAGCGAATGAAGATGAGGTGCAAAGGTTGGATTATTCTTGAATAACGAAAAGGTGGGACTATTGTAAGAAGACGGTTAAAAGGTTGGATTATTAGTTTCCATTTTCCCGATTATTTATAGGGATTACTTTTTATATCTCTTCCCATCGACTTTAGAAACTACATGAATTTATTTATAGGGACCATTATTGGCGGAAGGTCCCTAAAGTTGGGATTATTCTGAAATAATCGATAGTTGGAATTATTATGAGCTAGCGGACCGCCAATAGTTGGGATTAGTACTATCAATTTTTCCTAGATCTTATTTATAGGATGAAAAAAGTGAGTTACGTTTAGAGCATCTCTAGTGTGTGGTTAGCTAATTGCCCTTACAGCTTGACTGACCACATAAGCATTTGTAGCAAAATTGAAATATAGTTCGATGGTTAGCTATAACAGTATAACTTGTTTCTCTTCATTTATTATTTATAATGTTATATTTAATAATTTTCAGTGCTCAAGCTAGTAACTCATTTAGACTAATTAGCTTTCTCAAGCAAAAGGAAGAGCAATATTCCAATAATGATAAGTTAGTAGCTTCAAAATTGTAATCAAGTCCCTTGAAGCGAGATCCTCTTACAGATTTAAAACAAAGCTAAACGGGCTACGCCATTTATATAGGACTAACATTCAATTTCAAATAGACAGTTTGAATTGGTTTACCAGAAGTCAAGAATCGATAATGAATCAGAGTTAAAAGATATACAAGTATATAAGAAATTATAAATAGTGATCAATCCTAAATATATAAATAAAAATATATAGAAAGTATACGTATGGAGAATGAATATTTTTTTTCTCCCGGGCCCTCTAAGTGCATCCGTGTTCTAATAAATAAGTGATACTAGTACTTTAATAAAACATGATATAATGCCCTTTTAACATGGTCACCAACTCACCATTTCCCATTTCATTAGGATATGTTTGTTAACTGTAGCTATCAACACAAAGATATGTTACCATCTAATCACCTTTATAGTCATATATATATATATATACAAGCTAAGAATACGGTCAAAGTATCATTGGAGCTATTAATTAATGACATTATTATTATGGCAATAATGCACAATTACTCGGGTGCATGGTAGCTTCCATAATACTCCTATTCCTTTAAAACATTATGAAAAAAAAGGATGACACCCCATCCCTGAGGCCCCCTCACCACCGACCGGACGGCACGATGGGAGGATGTAAATTGGACTATAATCACAATCTGACAGATAGAGAGTGGGGTTCTGTCCTTTAAAACATTATGAGACGTGTGACATGATGACATCTATAATCCCATTTTTTAAAACAGATAACTTAATTATTAATAAAACTGAGGATCAGATACAAATTCGCCATACAAGCGGACTATCTCGCTAACCTCGTAATGTGGTAGGCTCCATACACAGCAATGCAGTACCTGCTACTAAAAGGGGAAAGAACACACAAAACAGAGTTCTGAAAGATCCTGGTTTTACCAGCCACCAGCAAGGGAGAAGAGGTTTCATCTACCACCTCCAAAGATACCAAACCGATTTGACCAGTCATCGGGAAGTGAGAAGAGGTTTGTCCATCCACCTCCAAAGGAATATTCCCACCTGCAGCAACTAATGGAAATCTAGGCGGTGTTGATTCAGTAGCACCGCCGCAGTGCCTTTTTTGATATGATACCATCTACCTCCAAATTGACTTCAGCAATGGCGTGGATATCATACTGCCTGAATTTGCAATCATCTTCATGAGATTAACTCTCGGTTGTATCCACACACGAAATGTCAATTGAAAAGCAAGACAAAGCCAAACAGCACACTAAGTACGTAGAGACGACGACAGGTATAATCTCTGCCTCCAAACGAAACAGAACAACAGCAAAATTCTCGGTCACAACGAGCCGGATCAAATCACACGGGACACAAGCCCGGAAAACCAAACTTCAAAGGAAGAATCAAACAAGAAAGCAAAAAAGAAGAGACCTGGTAGCATCATCCAAGGATCACCGCCCTATCTCTGGCCTTCGCCGGACGATTTTCACGGACTAGATGCCTTCGACCGAACAAGCTTCTCCTCGATACCAGCGGCGGCGGCTCTTGCTAGGGTTCGTGCATCGCCCCGCTTCTATAATCCCATTTAGTTGTACGGTGTCCTCTTTCGATAAAATTGTCTCAACTTTCCTTTTTATTTGTGTCATTAATATTATTTCATATCAAATTTGTTAAATTTGTGTGATTTTAAATAATTTTTATTTTATTCATACTTTATCTTATCAATTCAATAGTAATTATATAAATTCTATGTTTTGGGCTACATCACAAAGTTCAAACAATCTATATCACATCTGTGAAGGCGGCAATTTTTTTTATCTTGAAAAGAATCCAACAATGTTCGATCCACTGTACTTATATAGAGCTATAGAGAAAAAAAATATAGAGTTATAGATGAGCAAAAAAAGAAAGAAAAATAGTCTAACGGAAATATTGTTTTTTCCTTCTCCATTTAAAATTTATGTTTTGCAACTTTTTTAAAATAGCTATTAGTTTTTAGTTTATTATTTATTTATACTTAATAAATTCAATAAACTATTATTTGTATTTTGTAACCATGGATGATGATTTAACATTATAGGTAGCAAGAATTATGGTATTATAAGGTTATGCTAGTATTAAAGCAATAATCATTTAGACTAAAAATAATTACAAATTCATTACTAAAATAAATATTGTTTACAAAATGTTAGTGAGTAGAGTAATCATGGAATGATGGTAATTTATTTTCAATTTTTAAATTTAAACTACCATGACATTATATTATACATAGTAGTAACTGTTAGTCATATTTGTTTAAATAAGTTTTAATTTAGTAATGTTTTGGGGGAACTTTAGATTAAAACATAAGACACTGCGGTATTAATATGTATGATATTTGTATACAAGTGATGAAGTTACTATAAATTATTTTTAATAAGAATAAAAATAATATCAAGTTTCAAAATATATACGATCACTATGTTTTCTTCTTTAACAAAATGGTGCATTTTAAGGTATCGCAAATAGTACAACAGTAATTTACTTTTTTTTTATCATCAAACCGATAACATTATATTACTAAATCATTAGCCAAAAGGCTACAAATACAATCGGGCATATCAACGTAATCCACACACTTATCTGAGATGGTAACATGTTCCCGAGCAAGAGCATGGGCGACACGATTCGCAGATCGTTTACAAAAAGAGATATCAAAATTACTCTATGTTTCCAACAACTTCCTAATATCGTCAAAAATTAAATTAACATAAGTCGAACCCTCCGTCTTAGATATTCCATGCACAACCGTGAGGGCATCGGTCTCAACTTGCACATTCCGCCACCCTGCCTCCTTTGCATAAATTATAGCATCCCGAACACCCATTGCCTCTATTTCTTCAGCAGTCCATTCCGCTGAAACTGAAGCCCCCCGAGCTTTAATAAAAGCTCTTTCCGCATCTCGGACAACCCAGCCCCATGAGCGAATTCCTCTTCCATCATTGACAGCTCCATCCACATTAATTTTAAGGCAAACCCCGGTCGGCCTTTGCCATCTTTCTCCTTCATTGCACTTCCTCCCGGCTTGCATATTGGCTTGAGATTTGCGCACCTGCTGCCATGCGCCCAGCATGCCCTCGGCTCTCCGCAGGACGCCATCCGCCTCTTGCATTTCATCCTTCCACACGGCATGATTCCTCCTCTTCCACAAGCTCCAAATAATTGCCAAAACCCTGCACCGAGCACCTGCATCCTCCCGCTCCAACTGCTGCCTAAGCCACTGATTCAGCTCCATTTGTGGTCCACCTGTGTTAATGCCCACGAGCTGCCAGACCTCCTCGGCTTTTGAGCAGGAACGTAATGCATGATCTGAGTCCTCCCCGGGTAGTCCACACAACTTACAGCCTCCATCAATTAGCACCCCTTTCTTCCTTAGATTTTCAACAGATGGTAAAGTGCCATCCAAAATCTGCCAAGATAGATATTTAAACTTTGGGGGAACTTGGGCATCCCACAGATTCCTCCACCCTATCCAGCCACCTGAATTATGGAACCCCATGAGCAATCTATAACAGCTTTTGACTGAAAACTACCCATTCTTTTCCCCACTCCACCAAAATTTATCTTCCCGATCAGTCAAACTAATAGGGATGCTCAATATTCTTTTCCGATCCTCCACATTAAAAATCTCAGAAATTCGCTTGACATTCCACTTCCTTCTTGTGATATCCCGTAAAGCAGCTACATTCATGTCCCTTATTCCACTAGGCTTCCCAGAAGTAATTCTACCCTCCGTCCCAGGCAACCAGGAATCAGCCCATGTAAGGAATAATTGTACTTAGATTTTGATGATGCTAGGATAGATTAGAATCTTAAAGTACCCCTTATAGAAATTTTGTATTAGAAATTTTCTTTGTAAGTATTAGCATAGTCGACAGGTCAGAGATCCTCTTGGTACTTCTGATCAGAGTTGCCAGGAGAACTGATCCATGAGAGTTGCTCTCCAGAGAAGCATCAGAGCTGCTAGGAGAACTACTCCATGAGAAGTGCTAGCAGAGTTGCTCCTTTAACTAGCTATGAGAGTTGCCTGCAGAGCTGCTGTTCAGAGAAACCATCAGAGCTGCTACCAGAGCTGCCCTCATATAGCTATCAGAGAACCATCAGAGCCCGGCTTGAGAATTGCTAATCAGAGAGTCTCATCGGACATCAAACACTTAGAAGAATTCGATGCTACCTTTCAACTAACGGGAAATTTCCTAACGGCTAGAAGATTTTTCAAGGAAGGAAAGCATTTAATGTTCATTTAATGAGCCTGATACGTTGTGGAGTAATTGCAGATGATTGACCGAGATTCCTGGAGAATATTATACAAAAATAGAAACTTGCCAAATATGCGGGTCCAACCGGTCAACTCCACAGTACGCGCATTCAATGCAGTTGTCTCCTCCTCCAACGGGTAGACAACCCAGTATAAAAGATACTCGATGAAGAACAATGGAACAACTTTTGCTCTCTACACAACTCAAAAAGCACTCTTGAGATTCAAACTTCATAATCAACTCCAAGAAAAAGCTTACATTGGGAAGATCAGATTATTCAAATTCTTCAACCCCAACAAAGAGCAAAGTTCCTCCAGATCTTCAACAACTTCAAGCACTTCATCAACATATCTATTGTGACGAAGCAAGTTGGAGAAAAACTCTGTTTTTCAACCATCTTCTGCAAAGAAGGACGTCCAATTAACTGGAGTAGTGAAGTGGGGATACTTCCGGGAAGCTCAGTGAAAGGACCAGCCATCAGGAAACAGGACTGCATCCCGGGTGGCAACTAGGCTTGAAGAAGACGTGGAGAGCTTCTTAAGTTCTAGGGACTAAGGCGTTGTAACTGTTGTTTTACAAGCTTAGTGGAACAGTGGACTAGAGGAACGCGTTGTTCCTTGAACCACTATAAAAATCCCCGGTGTCATTTATTTTACTGCTTTTAATTCCTGCACTTAAGACTTTAACTGTTTAACTCTAAAGAACTTGTAATGTGTGTTCAGCAGATCGTGTTCTAAGAGTCATCAGAAAGGCATTTGCCTTAGTGTTTTCTTGAGGCTACCCAGACAGACTTAAATCCGCTGCCTGGTCCAGTTCTGCCATCGGAACTCGACCATCTCTGTCATCAGATTTGGACCACCTCTCATAAGTCAGTATTGACTTAGAGTAAAAATCTGAAAATCAGAGCAGTCTATTCACCCCCCCCCCCCCCTCTAGACTGCTTCATACTTAAACGGGACCAACAGCCCATACCTGAACATTAATGCCATTCCCAACCCTTCTTCTGATATTATTCTTTAATAATTCTTGGGCTTCAAAAATGCTACGCCAAATGAAAGAAGGATTATTCCCCAGCTTAGCCCCCAGAAAGTTAGAGGAAGGAAAATACCAGGCCTTCATAACCCGATACATTAAGCTCCCTCCCGGTTTCCGTAGTTAACCTCCACCCTTGTTTAGCTAACATTGCAAGATTAAATTCCCGAATTCTTCTAAACCCGAGGCCCCCTTCCTCTTTCGGTTTGCACATCACTTCCCATCTCCTCCATCTCAGCCCTTTCTGATCAAACTTGGAACCTCTCCACCAAAAGCCGTTCATAAGTTTTTCTATTTGTTCACACATCTCCTTTGGCAGCAGAAAAACATTCATAGCAAAATTTGGCATTGCTTGAATAACATTCCGCAGTAAGACTGCTCTCCCTGCTCTAGATAAGAATCGGTTGTTCCAACTCTTAATGCGGTTAAAAATTCTCGCTCAGATAGCCCAAAATGACATATTTGTTTTTGCCTATTAAAGCTGGCAAACCCAAATACTGATTTGCCCCACTCACCCGCGGAACTCCCAATTGCTGACTACAATACTCTTTAAACTGCTCGCCCACATTCTGACTGAAAGCAAGTGAAGACTTACTAAAATTCACCATCTGCCCGGAAGCCTTCTCATATGCCTGTAATATGTTTTTAATCGCCTCACACTCCCCCCTAGCAGCTTTAAAGAACAGAAAACTATCATCAGCAAAAAGTAAATGTGACACTCTCGGTGCCCCTCTACAAACTGCCACTCCGTGCACCTCCCCCCTACTCTCGGCTCTGCGAAGCATCGCACTCAACCCTTCTGCCACCAGAATAAACAGATACGGAGACAAAGGATCGCCTTGTCTCAACCCCCTATGTGGTATGATAGGTCCCAAAAAATCACTGTCATACTGAATATAATACTTAACTGTAGAAACACATAGCATGATAATATCCACCCACTTCTGACAGAACCCCATCCGACTCATAACTTCCTTCAAAAAGACCCAGGAAACACGATCATAAGCCTTGCTCATATCTAACTTTAATGCTACAAAACCCTCTTTCCCATAAGACTTACGCTTCAAATAGTGTTGGGTCTCAAATGCCACCATAATATTATCAACTATCGATCTTCCCGGGATAAAGGCACTTTGATTCTCCCCAATTAACCCTCCTAACAGACCTTTGAGCCTATTTGCAAGGACTTTGGAAAAAATCTTGTAAACAACATTACATAAGGCAATCGGCCTCCAATCTTCCATAGTTTCGGGTTTGTCATTTTTCGGAATTAAAACAATATTGGTTACATTTAATTCCTCCGGTAAGGAACCCGAATCAAAAATACCTGTGCAAAGACGAGTTACATCTGCTCCCACTACATCCCAAAATTTTTGGGAAAAAACCGGATTCATTCCATCAGCACCTGGAGCCTTGTCTGGATGCATGTCAAAAATAGCCGCCTTAACCTCCTCTGGCCTGATAGCTCTCAAAAGGTCCCGTTTCTGACTGGCCGAGACCTGCTTAAAGCCCGCCATCTGCCAATCTGCCACCACACTACTCCCTTCTTGAAACAATAACTCAAAATACTCCTGCATCATCTCTCCCATCTTTCTTTTATCCGTAATCCATGTTCCCTCCACCGAGCGTAGTCCCTGTATTTTATTACGTCTTCTTCTCTGCTTCACCGCATTGTGGAAAAATCTAGAGTTAATGTCCCCTTCTCTCAACCAAAATTCTTTTGCTCGTTGTTGCCAATACAAATTTTCTTTCTCCAACAAAGCTTGAACCACCGAGCGGAGATGAACAAATTCCGCCGTGCTCTGAGCATCATCCTTCCCTCTTAGCCAAGCCAGACGCCTCTTACAAACCACAATCTGGTTTCGAAATCCTTTCGGCCAATGTGCATCCCAGCGTAGCAGTTCCTTCCCGCAGAACAAAATTTTATCATTCACCGTCATGTGCTGACTAGCAGTCCAACTGTTAACCACAAGTGTACGACATTCATCTTCTTTCAACCAAACATTCTCGAATTTAAACCGTCTAGATTTCCTGCCGTACAAAGTGCGATTGATTTTAACCCACAAAGCCATATGATCACTAGTCGGGGCTTCAACTGACATAGCTTGAGCGTTCATAAATAAATTCCACCAACCGTCGTTGACCAAGATACGATCCAGCTTTGCCTCAACCCCGTACTCCTTCCCTTTGCCTCTGTCCCACGTCCACTGATAGCCTTCAAAAGGGTAATCCCTGAGGCCACTATCCCTGACGGCATCCGTGAACCCTTTTAGCCTCCAAGGAGGTTGTGGTACATTTCCTTTCTTCTCCGATTCGTAAAGTATATCATTGAAATCTCCAATGACAATCCACGGCATCGTGTTGTGTTCCGCTAACCTTCGAAGCATATCCCATGCTTCTCGCCGACGCCTGGTATCCGAGTAAGCATAATAGCCAGTCAAACGCCAAGGCAGCTCACCCTCTCTACTCCGAACCTGACAGTCCACATAATTTTGATGCTTCTCCTTGATCACAACTTCTATGTCATCATTCCAGCCCATTATAATTCCACCACTACTTCCTTCGTTGTCCATGCCTTCGCTGTTATAAAACCCCTGCATCCTAAGGGTTTCTTTTGCTCGGCTATAGGAGATTTTGGTCTCCATAAGGAAGATGATGGACGGCCGAAGTTCTTTGACAATATCAACAACACCTTGGACCGTTGCTAAATTCCCCAATCCCCTACAATTCCAACTAACTATGCTCATCCTGACCGCACAACGTCGAAGCCGAGGGTCGAAAACCGCAGGAACCTACATCAACAAATAGGAAAAACCGGACGCTGTGCCTTAAGAGACACCGCCGAAGAAACTGCCGGACACCGTACCTTAGAGGTACCGCCGGAAAAACAGCCGGACACCGTGCCGAGGAGGCACCGCCGGAAAAGCAAAAGCCAACCCTAGAGCCTCGGATATAGATAAGTTTGTTACAACAGTAATTTACTTGTATTCAAGTGAAAATATAGTACTCACATCTTGAATTTTATATCATTTTTACTCCTAGGACCAATGTGCACTTTAATTAAATATACAAGTAATATGTAGTGTAGCTATATACGTAGTATTTTATACGGTATGGAATTTTCTAAAATAAAATAAATTTTAGCTTTGTTGTATATGTCAAAGTCAAACCTTTAGAAAATATTGATTTTGATTTACCATTTTCCTCCTTTAATTTTTCCACATATAGATGCAATTGGCCAATTTGCTAATTGCTATTTAGCCGCTGGATCTAGGTTACATTGACAATTAGCCCGTTTGTCTTTGAAATTTATGTTTCTCAGTGACAACAATTCATCTGTATCATGGACAATTCGTTCCATCTCGAAATGCAAAAATTGTCTATATTTTTATGCTTAAAGCATCTTCATTTATCATCTGTAAGGGCATCCTCCTTGTTTAGATTATTTGGGGAGCAATTGGATGACGTAGATGATTTCTTTGAGATTATGAATGAGAAAAAGGGAATATTTGGAAAGATTATTTTTTAAAATAATCTGGTATCAAATATTGAATCTAGATTATGGTATCAAATATTGAATCTAGATTATTTGGGGATTTTTGTCCTAATTTTTTGCTCATTCGTGTGAATCAATGAAAAACATTAAATATATGAAGCTTAAAGCATTAAAAAAAGCATTGGAAAGAGGCATTGTAGTATGTATTTCGAATGAACAGTTTACGGCAACTTCCTTTACCTTTTTGATTAATTGTGCAATATAGTAATGATGCGTAAATTTATGTACGTAGTATCTATGCTGGTTTTGGTGAATGTCTTACAAATAATCTCATAATTAAAGGTGATGGTTGAGGAGATTTAATAAGTTTTAAGATTATTTTAGATTTTGTATGTGGCAATGACGTGACAAAAAAATCTCTTTATTTAGAGATCATGGATGAAGATGCTCTAATAATCAATTATTTATATGATTCTTACCATTTAAATATTGTCATATACTACCTCCGTCCCGCTAAAAGGTTCACATAGCAAAATGACACGGTTATTTAGGTGATAATTAAATAAACTACTTTGGGTATATTTTGTGAAATAATTTTAATAGGTATATATTATAATGTGTTAGTATTGATAATTGTGATGTTATAAATGTATTATTTTTAATATTTCATGACTAATGTGTCACTTAAGATTGTTAATTGTTTCCTAAAATGGAAATGGGAACCTTCTAATGGGACGCCCAAAAAAAGAAAGTGGGAACCTTCTAACGGGACGGAAGGAGTAATTAATTTTAAAATAATCTCAAAATTTGTTTATGCGTCAATCATCATCTTTAAGCAATCTTCTTTTTCTTTGTCCTTCATTAATCTCTATTACATATATTTTTCAAATAATCTTAAAATAATCCGGATTCATATTTTAATCCCAGATTATTCTAACAAATAATCTCATTAAACATTCCAGGTCACTCAATGATAATTTATTAAAAAACCCGACATTTCACCAGTTAATATCATAATAATCCTATCGATGAGAATGCCCTTAGTTATTAATTAAGAGCCCATTTGATAGCACTCAAATCGGCTGTATCGGCTGATTCTGTTGAAATTTATGAAGTTCTAGCTCAAGTAGCTACATTGGCTGATTCTGCTGATTTATGTAGAAAAAAATTAATACGAAGTATACAATTTATTAATAAAATAAAGAAAAAATTATATGAAAAATAGCTAAAATGATTCTCTACAATAACTCCAACCAATACAGCCAGAAAAGTATCAACATTACTTTTTCTTATTATTACGCAATTCAACGTGGAAATCAAAAGTTACGTGTTCAGTGAAAAATTGTTTGATAAGTCTAAAAGGCCAAAACGCATAGTTACCAATCGGGCTTTAAATAAATGCAAAATGTGCCTATTTAAACGTAGTTTTGGCAAAGTAACCTAGATCCATCCACAGACAATCTTTCTGCGACCATCTGGCGGATTTCCGACAGACAAATTTGAAGACCATTCCCACAATAATTGTCCTCACTTAAAGGTCTTTCAAGTCTTTGCTCTTCCCCACTACACTTTCAATCTTTCCATTCATCCCCAAGTGGGTTCGTACAGTTGACAGCAACACTAAATTGGATTTACTCCCTTACTAAAATAGTTAATGGTAGAATAGTTAATAGTTGGAGGCACATTATAAACTTCCACTTCAATGCTATAATTGTTTTCATGAAAAAATTGCTCATAAATGTTCCAAGAACTAAGAAATGAAGAGGTAGCAGGTCAATGGTAAATGTTAATTTTGACCCTTTTTCAACAAGCAAACAGAACATGGTAAATGGTAATGTTGATACTTGATAGTGAACTTTGTCATATTACTCATGGTAATTTGACCCTATTGTTTTGGTCTTCTTTTGGAACATAACATACATCTGGCTTGCCACCAATCAGAAAAGCGTTTTTTCGCACAAGTCTGTTGTCTTTTGGCATAACAATCTTTTTGCAGATTGAAAAAAAAAGTGAGGGAGCTTGGGTTGATGATTAGGAAGTTTATAGCAGCAAAAAAAAAATAACTTTTATATGCACTGATGATTCCGGGAGTTTACATAATTTGTGCACCTATTCAAAGAGATCTTGATTCAAGCCTAGTTGCTGATAATTCGCGTAATCAATCTCATTTAAACGTACACAACACAATATCTTCTCGGGCAATTCTTCAGGTTTGTTACCCTGGTTAACAAAAAAAACATTGCATCGATTGTTATAAAAGAATGAAAGTAGAAGATCTCATAATAAATAAATTTTCCAATGGCAATTATTTACTTGCCTGAATTGTGAGGCCGAAATCTAAATTGAAGTGCTTTAATCTATCCATAAATGCTTCAAACCCCTTACGGGAAATGTAACTGAATCTGTGCATATCTAAATCAATCTCAAGATAATTTTCCCCCTGCAAAACAATTATAGACATGTTGCAATTATATTTGGGAAAAATAAATCTGCTATAAGAACAAGAAAATTATGGGCATGACCTACCGTGTAAAACTGATGTTGGGGACGGGAAAGCACAGGTTTCTCATTGTATGCATGCATGAGCTTCCTCTCTGCTGCACTCAACGGCAGATCGTCCACATTTGCTATACGGCCTAAAATCTTCAACCGTTCCCGAAAAGGTGTTATACTGTCCATTGGAAACCCCTTCACCTTTTCCACTTCATCATCAATCAGCTTCTGTTTTGTTCAATGTAAAAATAAATAACAAAGATGTCAACTAACATGAAAGTGATATGAAACATACCGGGAAAGTAAACATTAATTTAGAAACTACTCCACAAATTGTAAAATCATTGCAGATATAAAGTAAAAGAAATGAGAAGTATAAAAAGCATGGGAAAAGCATAACCCTGCCTCATGGGAAATAGATTAAAACACAACTAAAGTTATGGCAGCTCAAACTTACTCTAATACTCTCTTGAAAATGAGATGGAAGCTCTTTTGAATAGCTTTCTGAAAGCTTAAAGTATAGAACATAATGTATTCCTTCCCCATCAGTTTCACTTTGAAAGATTGAGGCCGGATACAATGGTATCTGCAACATGAGAATTGCATGTAATCAGCATAGTCTTAGAGTAGGTAAAGACTTCACCATACCAAATTCTCATGATAAAAAAAAGTAATTATACATTAGTTGTTTTCTTTTCAGCACTTAAACACAAAGGTCTGTCACGATGAGATTCTTGGAGGGCGTAGTCTATATCTTGATAAATAGAACGTTGACTGAAAACAACTATCAGATTATTGAAATGTTATCAGATGAAATATCATGTTATTTTTCAAATTTTTATAAATCTAAAATGCATATCAAGAACTAAGCCCTCCCCGAAGGCTATTTTCAAATTCTCAAATTCAATTATTCAATGTCCTTCAATTTTCAATCCAAACAAACCCTACCATGTTTCAAATTCAATTATTGAATGTCCATCTGAATGGGCTAGTCAAGCACAGACACTATTAAAACAGGGCATTAAAATTCAAATGGCAAGGTTAGGTTTATGCGTATCTAATCCTAACGAGATAAAAGAAACACATTGTGGTTGATAGTAGCATTTCATGAAGTAGATTACAATTTATACCTGACAATTCACAATAAGTATTTGTGGAAGAATCCCTGAAGGTTCAGTAATAGGGAGTTCCACAAGCCTAGCAATGTGATCTATTTTTCTTTGAGACAAGAACACATCAACTCCAAAAGGGTAATATGCCGCAGAGTTTGAAGCAAATTCCTTCTTTTTATCTCTGCCAAAGAAAAACATAATCCAAAATGGGAAAGAAGAATTACGAGAGTTAGTGACATAATGGTATTAAATTGCAAGAGCACAATTTTAAGGAATGACATATTGGGGCATGGAATTCCTTACTTCAAGTAGTTCTCTCCTCGAATTCGAAATGTCCCTGGTTCAATTGGAGACCAACTGTCTGGCATTTTCTTCCCCAAGGGACAAAATGGAACTTGGGAACCGGCTATAGGTCTAAGCAGAAGTGACTTGGATGATACTGCAATGCATAAGAAATCAGCACCTTGCTATGGTTCCAAAATCAACTTTTTGCATTTGAAATTAGTTAAAAACATAACGAAGAGAAAAATCATAGCCTACACCAGGCTGCATCTACCAAAATCACAAATTGGTCAAATTACTAAATGAACCTTGGGGTTTTTGAATATTACAAGTTAGCCCCTAACCCATTCAGATTTCCTCAAACGGTCCTTTTACCACTGAAAGATTAATAGAACGTAGAATATTAACAGGACTTGAGTTCGTATTCTTATTGAATTTCGCATCTCTTATTTCTTTTATCAGCTAAAATATTTGAATCACTGTTTTGAAAAAGGATCATTAGCCCTATTGCGGGTAATATAGTCCAAAAAAACTCAATTTCCATTCATATCATTTGATCCTATCAACTCTCAATATCATTTGTGCGAAAAATGATTCAAAAGGTTTATTTGTAATAATCAGAAACCTCTAGTGTGATGTTGTAATTTGACCAAAACTCAATCGAGATAAATGTAATTAACTAAAAAAGCAAAAAAAAAAAAAGAAAAAGAAAAAAACTGTCTGCTTGTGCGACAAAATGAAAAGGAAAGTAGGAAACTAAGCATTAACTACAAAGACTCACACAGAGTGGAATGATGTCCTTCTTTCCATTTGAAAGATAGCTTTAAAGCGGCTTTCTTCCTTGCACTAGGAGGAGGACTAGAGTCAACTGATCTTCTCTTCTCAATAGGAGCAACAGCAGAAGCAAGGCAAGGAAGACAGTTATGTGTAAGGATTCCACAATCATTCAACAAGCCATGACCTCTGCTGGTACAACTTTCATTTGTAAAGGGGGAGATTTCCTCAGGTTGTTTGACCTGGTTGCCATATTAAAGATACACACACTATGATAATCATACACCAAGCATAAGCAAATGAACATTCTCTAATAGACAAATGACAAACTCATATGCAAATGAGCATTTATTAGAAGAAAATCGATCTAAATACAAAATAGGCATGGAAACAATAAGACAACAGGAAGTACACATACTTTTAGAAACTATGAGCAATCATTGTGAAAATCTACAAAGTACCACTACGGAGTACTTCTGGATGTGGATGTATGATCAAATTTGAGGCTTTACCTCATCAGATCTTAATGCAAAATCAGCATCTTTCGGATGCATAGAACTGTGTGGATGAATGTTTGGTTTGGTATTGCCACTGACAGAGCTACGAGCTGAATGGCTAGCAGATGAATTCCCAGGCCTATGTACATGCTCAGATTCAGATCCATTGAGAGAGTGAGCATCTGTAGTAGAAAATAACATCAACAAATGAGACCATTAATAGGTGAGGATTAATATCAGTACCCCTCAGTAACACATACCATCAGTTACACTCTGAAATTCTTCATCGCTGCACTCGCTTTCGAGTATGGTGACTGAATCAAACCATGCTTCTTCAACACTTCCTGTTACCGACCATTATATGAAATTAACCTTCATTTATCCGGATAGCATAGAAATTTAAAATTGTTTAACTCTCGTAGTATGACAGTATGCAATCACTGAATCACTTATGTATCAGACTGTAGAGTGTTAAGGGTCACAGAGAAGACTGGTCGAGTGTCTTTCCAATGGTTTAAAAAAATTACCTAATTTCAAATCACCTAATATCCACTTTTTTAATGCACAAATAAATGAGAATACAACTCAAAGGTGTAAGCTTTAATCAGGTACATGAGGGGTGTGAAGGGAAATATTAACTCCAATATGTGGCCTTGATCATATTTACTTGCACGGCCTTGCATTCAGTTCATTCACTGTATACACAAACCCCAATAACTCAAGAGCTAATTTATACATCACTTTATTCAGTTCCCATGTATCCAAAAAACTGTTCGCATCAATCATCAAACTACTTAACTACCTCATCTATGATATGATCTTAGGCTCCATTTAGGATTGTGTTTGAGATCGAAAAAAACTCTTTTTGCCCTAAGGCAATCTTAACCAAATAGTTTTGAACAATACCAGATTTGAAACACCAAAACCTGACGTGGTGCAGACCTCCTTTACATGCATTTTTTACATACAATTATAGCCCCCGCAAGAACTTTCTCCCCGTAACTCCAAGGATATTTCTCAAAAGTGTTTTTCCAGCAATGAGCTTATTCCAACCACAAACAGACAAACTTTATCCCAAACTCTATCCCAAACCAGCAGAACCCATACTCTATTCTACCGTATAGATAAACATTAAATTGTGACAGTGACATATGAACTTATATGTCGACTAAAAGACATAATTCTAACTACACCCACCATTCAAAAACGCAGCTTTGAACCCCAAACCAAAAAAAAAAAATGGAAAATTAAAAATACAAAGAATGATCAATCCCTCTCCGTTTCATTAGATCAAACCTCTGGAATGGAGAGTCTACTGATATAGCCAGCAAACATTATAAGAAGAGCATACACACGCAAGATAAATACGAACCAGGGTTGTTGTTAGATCGAGCCAGCGGAGAAGTCTTGCCAGCTCTATCAGATGTCCGATCATATAAACCAGAGGTCGCCTTTTTTTGTAAACCACCTTTCTTTCTCCTCCGACTCTTCTTCTTCTTCTCACCTGCGTCGGAGCTCACCTTCCTGGACACACATCCTCCCATCTCCGCCCAGCTCCAAATTCAATTCAATCGATAAATAACTCCTCGCCGAAAACTGGATGAATGAGTATAGTATCAAGAGAGAAGTCCGATGAGAACTCCTCTGCAGTGAGAATAAAAACTGGAACTTCGATCAAAACTCCTTGTGGAGTCAGAATAAAAACGGAAAATATGGTATTTAAATCGAGAAAACGTGGAAGGGAAGAGAACCCATCCCTATCCTCGTTCACTGAATTACTGTGCTCTCTCTCTCTCTCTAAAAATGGAATGGGTAATTGCGTGTTAGTATGAACGCAGACGTCGTATATATCTGCCTGATGACAATAATTTAACATCTGTGATTTGGAGAGGTATAGCATAAAAGTCACCGTGCATCCGCGAAAACACGGTCTAAAGTCAAACCATATAATTACTTCCATTATTGATTAGAAGAAACCGTGCTTCTTTCCTCTTCCCTTCATTTCTTTTTCGTCTAAATAAACTCCTACGGAGCACTAAACTTTGCACGAAATTTAGGAATGAATTATAGGGACACGAAATTTACCAATAAAGGATTGAATAAGTAAACACCACCTATTTAGATTAGAAAATGTGTACACGAAATTTAGTGTTTTGGTATACATCTTTTGTAGACGAGCATATGTTTCACGCGTACAGAATTGTCTATCCACAGATATCTGTGAACACAAAATTGTAAAGTTGTCTGTGGACAGACAATTCTGTGTGTGTGAGACAGATAGTGTACGAAAGGTATACATCAAAATGTGGACAGCTAGCATAATGCTTTAGATGCTCTAGATGGATTAATTGGTTTAAGGTCTGTTTGCAATCCATTAAAAAAGTGTTTTTAACTTTTTTTTAAGAAAAAAACACTTTTTTTAGATCAGAATAACCATAATTTTATTAAAAGTAAATAAGAAGAGTACAAAAATATGAAAAAAGAAACAAGAACGCAAATGAGTGAATAATCCAAAAAGGCCCTGCAATTCCCTAAAGTAAAACGCTTAGCTCCCCGTCGAGATGTACTGAGTTACCCGAAAGATATGAAGCCCCCAAAATATCCAAAAGCTAATCCAGTAAGCAGAAATGGCCCTATGTTTCAGCCAATTTTTTAGCCTTGAGACGGGCACTGCGTCGAGGTAGCAATCTAGAACTGGCTGAGTCCCATTCAGTATCAGCAACGCGGTCAAGTAGCTCACGATCATAAAGTGAAAGTTGAACAGGCGTAACTTCAAGATTGTTACCACCCGAAGCATTAGGTTCCAAAACTGCCGTCTGAGGAGAAACTAATCCACCCGCTGATAGTTTGGAGTGAGGTGAATAAGAAACTCGAAGAGAAGTAGTTTCAAGGATACTATCAATATCTTTAGATTGAGAAACACCCTCTGAAAAAAACACTTATTTTACCAAACACTACCAACTTTAACTTTCTCGGCTTCCATGTAGAATCTACTTTTTACTTTTTTCTATTACACAAAAAGCACTTATTTTACCAAACACTACCAACTTTTACTACTAATCACTTTTTCCCCAAAAGTGCTTTTATTTAAGCACAAGTGGTTGCAAACAAAGTCTTAATCTGTTTAGATGTTATTTAGTACTACGTATTGTATACTGGTATGTTTTATTCTATTGTAATCTTATCTAAGTCAATTTGGTTTGTTATGTTTCAATTTAGTTTAGATCTTATTTGATAACATTGAAATTGACTGAATCAACTCATTAACCTGTTGAAATTGATAAAATTCTAACTGAAGCAGCTATATTGACCGAATAATGTTTACAATATACTACATATAGTTTTAATAAAATAAAGAAAAACTATATGAAAAACAAGTTAAAATGGTCATCTAGAGCAACTGCAACCAATTCTGTCAGAAAAATAACTTCGACCTTACTTTGATTCTGACACAATTCAGTGCGCGATATAAAAAAAATTATGTATATCGTTTGAAGGTCATTCGATAAGGCTGATAATTTGCTTAGATTTAGTCTGGCACGGTTTGAAGTAGTCTAATACGGTAAAATGTTTCATATTGTGTGATTTTGTAGAGTTAGTCGAGAAAATCTCTGATTTAGGAGTAAAAACTTTGAGAAGTCTAAAATATTAATGCCATGTACGTATTCTCTAGTAATTATTATCAGTTTGAAAAATACTATCATGTTTAAACTTTGGCATTGTCAAAACTAGGGCTGTTAACGAACCGATCTTTTATCGAACTATTCGAGTTCGAGCTCGGTTTCGAACCTAACGAGCCGAGCTTAATGAGCTTTCAAACTCGAACCCGAGCTGAGTTTTAAGTTCGAACAATTAATCGAGCCGAGCTCGAACATAGTAATATTCGGCTCGGTTCGAAGTCGATCCTATCGAACACCTTGAAATTTTAAATATAATTTATATATATTTCAAAATTTAAATATAATTAGTATGAGTTTATGAATTTAAATATGATTATTAACGAACTGAATACTTGTCGAATCATTCGAGCACGAGCCTAATAACAAGCATCACCTAAAATTTTAAATTTGGACATATTTATTGAGTTTATCGAGCACTCGGTTTGAACATCGAACGTCTATCGAGCCGAACATGAGCCGAATTTGTAAAGCTCGCCGAGCTTCGAGCTCGAACCCGAACACCAATAATTCCTTAATGAGCCGAATTCGAGCTTTGGGTGTTCGGGCTCGGCTCGGCTCATTAACAGCCCTAGTCAAAACATGGTCGTAGTTACTCATACTTAGAAAATAAAACTATGAAAGTCTTATTTTGGAATACACATACGTTTTTAATCCTATTCAGGGCAATTCCCCTTTATTCTTTCTCACATGTCACACTAAGTTCATACCGAAATATAGTATGTAATATTTGTGGGGGAAAATGGTCAAATAGGTCCTCGAACTTACATAAAAAGGTCAAATAAGCCCTTATATAGGAGGATCTGTCCGGCCGTCGCCATTTGGGGCAGTTCCCTGTAGAATTTTTTGATGAAATTTTCTAAGCATATTATTCATTAAGTCTAGTTTACTCATACCAAATTTCATCTAACAATTCAATCGGGAAGGCGTTTAAATGAATTCTTGAGGATAACTGCGCTTTTAACTACGCAGTTATCTTCAAGAATTCATTTGAATACCTTCCTGATGGAATTGTTAGCTGAAATTTGGTATGAGTAAACTAGACTTAATGAATAAGATGATAAAAAAAATTCATCAAAAAATTCCACCGGAAACCGCCCCAAATGGCGACGGCCGGATAGAGCCTCCTATATAAGGGCTTATTTGACCTTTTATGTAAGTTCGAGGGCCTATCTGGCCCTTTTCCCTATTTGTGTGTGATACATTCTTACTTTGATCATAGATATTCCGTATAGTTACATAATTTCATATTTTTAAATAATCGTGATACTCTTTCATGTCTTTGATTCTAGTCTGGTAATGTACGCATATCTAGTCTAATCTAATCTTTTCTGATAAAAACAATTAACAAAGTGGCGCTCTTCAGGCTTTACTCCGGCCTTGTCATTAATCAATCAACTTTCTAATTTAGAGTAGCAGCGGCGACCTGGAGCGATGTAGCCAATAAATCCTAGCGGCGTACGAGGGACGAAGCCGATTTCAGATCGTTCGATCCTGTGCGGCGAAGTCCCACTCTTCGGAAACAGGTTCTCCTTTTACGGTTGATTCTAGTCACTCTTGTTTATGTTGTTTTGGCTTTCGGTCATGAGGTACCCGGCGTTTTATTCTGGCGCTTCTTTGTTGTGGATCTTTATTAGTTCTGTTTTGAAGGGTATTTAGGCTTGGTTGATGGGTTTGTCAAACCCGTGAAATTTCCACAAGATTTTTGAGCTATTGTTTTGGTTCGTTGTTGTTTGTGTTGTGGAAGAACTGTGTTCTTGATCCGCTCTTGTTTGTTTTTGTACATCTTGTTGTGTGGTTTGATTATTATTTTGGATATGCTTGTTGAGACCTTTAGTAAAGTTACCATTACCGAGGAGGAAGATAGAGGTTTGGTTCTAGGAGCATACCCGGTAGGGGTGATTCTAAGGGCAATGGGGGAGCTTGTTTCTTGGTTATGGCAAGAGTGGTAATTGATAAACATGTTCACCCAATCGCTTTTTGTGAAACCATGGCCATGGTCTGGCGACCAATTTGGGGAGTGACCATTGAAGAGATTGGTGCTTCCAGGTTTCTTCTCCAATTTTATCATGATGGCGATATTAGTCGAGTTGTTGAGGAGGGACCTTGGTCTTTTGAACAGAAATTAGAAGTGGTAAAAAAGACTAGGGCATACTGATAGGCCTCTTCAAGTGTCATTGGATCGTGCAGACTTTTGGGTGCAGGTTCACAATATACCTTTAGGGTACATGACAACTAAAGCAGCTCGTGGAATTGGTAACAGCATAGGGAGCTTTGTCCGAGTAGATGAGCGCTCTCTAGGGGGGAAACAAAGAATGGTCTTGCGAATAAGAGTCACAATTAATGTCAATGTGGCTTTGATCCAGAGATTGCAGATCCGACAAGAAGAAGACAGTTGGATATGGGCAAATTTTAGATACGAGAGGCTTCCAAAATTTTGTTTTTTTGTGTGGGATTCTTGGCCATGTTGGTCGTATTTGTCCATCTAAGTCTCATGTTGGTCCCTGGGTGGGAGAGAAACCTTATGCGTCTTGGCTATGTGCAGATACGCAACGAGGTGGTATGCACCTGTGAAATATGCGTTTGATCCCTAGCGGAAACAAACCCAGTAAGAGGAGGGAGCATGTGGACAGTTTGGGTAATTTGAGTATAAAGGCGGCAGCCCTGGACAGTTTTATGGTGGAAGGCTTAAGCTTAAAGATCAAGGAAGTGGTTATTCAAGAGGAAGAACCATGGAAACACGTGATAATTGAAGTGGCTAGTGATACAGACGCTCAAGCAAGCATGGAAGTTGTTGAAGTGGATCCAAAAAAATTTGCAAGTGGTGGTGCTGATTGGAGTGCACCATTCGAGCCAATGAAAGATAATCTTTGTGATGCAGTAGATGGAAGGGGAGGAGAGGAGCTCCTTACAGTACCTTTGGCGGTGGTTGGTCAAACCGCGGTTCCCTTTCCAGTGGCTGGAAAAACTGGAATTAGTTACTTTTATTCTTATTATATTTCTCAGAACTTTTTTGCTTCTATTATTTATCAGTCTAGTAGCAAGTGCAGCGGTGTTGTTGATGGAGTCAACCAAATTACGGGGTTAGCGAGTTGGGCCGCTATTAAGCGTGACTTTGATATGACATCTCAGTGTAGCTTTTGATATGGCATGTTTGTATGTGGTTCTCGGTTTTAATA